AATAATCTTAAGAATGAAATCTAATCATTTGCTATCAATTAAAATTAAAATAATCTTGTTATTTAGGTGTTTTATGTTGATTTGAAACTGAAAAACTGCTAATCAATTTTTAAATTTGCTAATCAACTTTGGCAAAATTGGACTTTTTGATTAGCAGTGCTGCTAATAATCTGTGAAAAATTACCGACAGCCCTGTTGATGATATAGGCATAATATCTGCGATTGCTGAGGCATCGGTAGCCATAAAACTACTGTTTGTAGCCTGTGATGCCGTGGTAGAAGGCGACTTCGTTCGTTTTGTCTTTAATGAAGATCGTTTATTACTGGGCATGTCTGGTGTGACTGAAAGTATCTGAGAAGACAAGGCAATTAATACAAAATTGCATTGACCCACATTGGGCCTTTTTCGGTCTATACAAAGAGTACAACGTAATAAGATAGTCCATGATATTAACTTGTATCAAATATATTAATGATGATACATATAAAAATAAAATAAAACCAAGTACGAACAATCCAAACCATAAGACAGAATTCGAAGTCCTAAAAAACGTTATTGGCAATATAGTGTATTCGAGCTAAATAGTGTAATCAGCAAATGGACTGCTCCTCGTGTACAAAATACACGACAAACAGTGGTAACAGGTGTCCGGAAGAGTAAGCTTACCCTGCCTGGCGCCTCACCCGCCATAGCTGCATCCAAACTATTAGGCGAAATGTCGGTAAAATAGTGTGATTGGCCAATGAACTATCGGTATGCACGCGATGAAATGTGTTAACGATGTAGTAGACATTATCATGGAGATAGTAATAGTATTCGTGTCAATTCAATAAATACTCTCAGAGACGTTACGTGATATAACTTAAATATCAAACCTAAATAGGATTAAACTACCAAAGCTAAGATATCCCTATAATAAACAGTAACATTAATAACAGGGCTATACTAGGGTATTCCTGTCAGGTGAAATATTTCTAATATTCTTAATGTCAAATAAATTATGCTAATTATTATCAGAGACGTTACGTGATATAACTCAAATGTCAAACCTAAATATACTAAACAGCAAAAAAAAACCCCAAAAATTAAAGGTCAGTACGATTTCAAAATCGGAGAGGCACTTTAATCAAATCATTCTATTCTAGAAAACGACGTACTAAATAGATCAAAGCAATTTTGTGTGAACAGTATGTTGACACATTAGTGCTTAATTCATCACATCTCCAAGACATTACGAAAAGGTTTAGAGTCACAGTCTATACATTAGTATTTGGTGTTTCCACCGTGAGTGTCAATAACAGCAGCACAGTGTCTGTACATGGAGTGGACCAGACGATTGATGAACGTCATTGGCACCTGGAACCACGCTCTCAGAAAAGCCTGGCGCAATCGGCTGCGTTTGGTATTTGTACAACGTTATTAAGTTTCCTCTCAATTTCATCCCAAAGATGTTCAATCGGGTTTAAGTCAGGACTAAGGGCTGAACAGTGCATAACGTCGACACTGGATTTATTAACCAGAAATACAACATCTACTTCATCCACATTCACACCCTTAAATACACCGGATTTTCTGTAGAAGATATTTGAAACAATCATAGTTAAACCTGTAAAATAAAAACACAAGACATCCCGTCTTCATTCGTCAATTTATAGTAGGAAGCGGCATAAGAGGAAGCCATGTTGTAATTTGTTCCTGGTAACACGAGCGGTACGAAACCTCAGCTTGTAATTTTATAGACGATTAGAAACAAATTGAAAAATACTTTCTATAACACTTTATACGTTTGAGGATTATATAGTTACACCACCGTTACATTACGTCAAAATACTCTCCAGAACACTATATACTTTTGAGCATTAAGTTACACTACCGTTATATTACGTCATAATACGTTCTATAACACTTTATACGTTTGAGGATTAAAGTTACACTATCGTTACATTACGTCAATATACTTTCAATAAAACTATATACTGTAGAGGATTAATGTTACACTACCGTTACATGACGTAAAAAACTTTCTGTAACACTATATACTTTTAACCTCACATATTATGACCCTGGCTCAGTAAATAAGGCACTGGCTCACTAACCAGGAGATCCAGGGTTCGAGAAAGTTCCCCGTGTTTTTCCAGTGTGGTTTCCCATTGTCAATGGTGCCAGGCGGTGTCTAGTCACCTGAATGGTACGAATAAACTACTACTACTAATACGAAAATCTGGGTGCCGTGTTCATCCCTGACAGTTGTAATTCGAAATAAGAGTAGATGCAAAAAGGACCACTAACAGGGCAAACTTTTCACTCGCTGTAGCATACACGCTGCATAGTGTATGCCTATCTTCATTAGAAAATATTAGGTCAGATATGGATGAAGAACATGGACATAAAAAAGTGGCTGATGAAAATGTTTGAAATGGAAAACACGAATAAGAATTCAATATCAAGGTCCATTTTAATTATACTGATTTGGATATATTTATGATTTCGGGCGCCATTTGCAATGAAGAAAGAAAAACATATTCTACAAGACAATGCGGGAGTAATTAGTAATGGTTGATTCACAAACGACAAAAATAATAATAAAAACGTGTAGAATGAACTCACACTGATCAGCAGTGAATATTCGCTAGGCGACCTCAATCACTGATAAGGATGACATCGATGACTTAAAGATACATTATGGGAGATTTTAATAAAGAGTTGGCCATTCTTGCTATTACAGTTCAAAATTAGATGATGGAAGAAGAATATATTCAAAATTTCAGTCAAATTACTTTATTCTGAACAAAGTTATCACCATTGTAATTTTTGACTAAAAATAGGAGTCAACTCTCTCTTCGCCGTCTCCGAGAATGGCCGATTGTTTGATCGTCGGGCGTTAATCTCAATTATCAAGTAACGTTTTCAATGGCTGTGGTACAGTTAGCATATTCGGTTTGAGACGGGGTTGCAATTCAATTCGTATCAGATTTTTTTTACTACAAATTAAAGATAAGACTTTTAATATATAGATAAGAAGCGAAAGTTTGAAAGGAATGGACCAAATCAATGAGGCATAATTATAGCCGACTTCTTGTTAGCCTTCGTGTACTGTTGTACTGTAACTGGTAGGCCTACGTAACTCCCGTGTCAATTTCCCTAATTTTTCTGTCAACGCAAGTGACAAAAGAGCGTATAATACCGACATCCAAACTCTCATTTTAACCACAACTAAACATAATATCAAGGCCGTATATATCGAATTTTCAATCAAATTGACTGACATGCCGCCTCGCTCAACAGCGGCCTCGCTTCGTACACTCTATAATTTAGCCTCGATCTAAAGATTTCCGGGAGTATGACGTCAACGTAACGGCTAATCTCCGCCAATGACGTCTATATTGATCTCCGCTTACGACGCCATTTAAAAAATTAATCAATCAATGAAATCCTGTTTAAATCCAAGCCATCCGTGGGTCTACAGAGTTGATTTTGTGCTTCTTGTGTAAATAAAGATCTAATTTATAATTTCTATGACATCTGAAGCCTAAATAAAGACTTGCAATAATCAGACTTAGCTCTTGCATAATGTATGTTTAATGAGCCACAAATATTAACTTTTTCGTTTTGTTTTTACTGTAAAAGGAACGTGTCCCGGGATTAACACTGATTACAATATCTTCATTATAGTTGGTCTTCATCAATTTATTTTTCAATTCTGTGTAGCCAACTTCTTCGGTTATTACAGACATAACATTATGGCGTCCAATTTACGTAAACTTTAGGCCTACGTAACAAGAGCAACACTACCGCTGCAATATACATTCCTGATATGGTAAAAATTTTTTATGAAATATGAAATAGCTGCAACGACTGTAATATGACAAGAGGCAAAGACGGCTAGGTGTTGAGTTTGTTTTGCTCAAATTCACAGACTAATTATTAACAAAAAAAGTGGGTGTGACACCACCCCATGGGGTCGGGACATGCACCAAAATAAATAGTTCCTGTCTTTATAGTAAAACGAATAAAAATGCCAAATTCCAAGATAATTCATTCAGAATTCAAACCTGTAAATGGCTCTGCCCTTGAGGGTGGACATAGACCAATGTGAATAGGTACAATCCTATGATGAATCATGCTGAATTGAATCCGAATCTGTTAATAATTGCAACTTGTAGATTATTTACAAACAAAATATTAACAAAAAGTGGGTGTGACATGCACCAAAATCAATAGTTGCCGTCCAAGCATCCCAAGTTCCAAGATAATCCAATCAGAATTGTGGCCTGTATATGATAAACACAAAAATTGGGCGTGGCTCTGTTCCTAGGGGTTGGGACACGCCCCAGAATTAATAGTTTCCGCCCTTAGGCTATAAAGAAAACATATGCCAAGTTCCAAGACGATGCCGTAAGAATTATGGCCTGTAGGCAACACACAGACACACAGAGAAAAACAATAGAGATCATCTTTAGGGTATAAGGAACAGGTATAAGTTTTAAAAGGATCTGTAGGCGACACACAGACACTCAAAGAGAAAATGGGCGTGGCTCTACCCCTGGGGGTCGAGACATGCTTTAGTCCAATTACTCATTACATATCCCATTATTGGCAGAGAAAGTTCATCAGGATTTTCCTGGGTGGTTCCCCTTTGTCAGTGGTGCAGGACGGAGGGCCTGGCAAGGGACAACATAAAGTCATTTCAATGGGACAAAAAAGTCCAGGTCCTGTGTACACATGTACAGAACCCTTGACAGTTGGAATTCAAATGAGAGTAAGCCCTGGTGTCGCTGTCGGGGCAAAAATTCCCTCATAGCACACTGTATGGCATATGCATGTCTTCATTAGACCCGTCAGTGCAGAACAGCAGGACATTAAACCTCATTTCTTTCATGTCCTTACATATTCCAATAATTCAAAAAATGATTTTCATAGTTTTACCTCAGGCCTGGCGGGAAGGTGATTTTGGTGAGATGAAGCATTTCTTGTTGTCAAAAAGGCAGAAAAAAAACTATTAATAATGAAGAATTTATATTGCATTCAAGAATCAGATGACAAAATGGATACAAAAAGAAATACACAAAGCCCTTGTAGTAAAATATGTCTAATAAACTGTACATTATATATAATATAGATATAGAAATATATATATATATATAAACATGATTAAAACACATCTATATCTTTTAGCTACTAACATTCTAAACCCTAACTCACTCAATGATTTTGTTCTTATGGATCTACACAAGTAAAACAATTCATTAGGTACATGTTTGCCAGATATATTTATTACCGAAGATACATAGTCATAAATATGTTAGGACTAACAAGTTAGATGTTTCTTGCAGAAAGATTAAGATATTAATAACAATCATAGATACATAATAAAAGCTGTCAGATCAATTCAGATAGAAAAGGCAAGATAAAAACATACTTTATTACATAGAATAGGACATAATTGGATAAAGTGTATAGAAAATTAATAATTTAAGAGAGATTGCTATTTTGATGTAATTATATAAAAAAATCAAAAGTGTCTGGTAAATACCGATACCTTGTAAAGTATTCACGGATAAATGCCCAGGAAAAACATTGTACTTAATTACTTTTTAACATGCAATATGAATTAATGAGTCACAATTCTGTTTCTAATACACGCAATTTCACAGAACTGTTTCCGACCAATATTAGATTAAAAGATTTGATTACGGGAGGTTTCTAAAAGCATTATTGATTTTTAAACTACGTTCAATGCTGATTGACTTGTACCAAAATTAACATTTTAACACAACAATTTAGCAATTTTCCAGTAATCAGTATATTTTCAAAGATAAGCTCTCGTCAATGCATCCTGACAAATATAATTATAAAACTGGACCCATTATAAAGAAAGAACCCATCTTGACAAGATCTATTCTTATGATGAACAGAAAACATGTATTACACTATCTATACTTAATTAACCTTTCCTTTTGTAATTAAGATGTTGTTGGAATTAAAAGACATTAATATAATATGAACAAGATGACTAGTCATTACCATCCCGTGCCCTTGAACTTGTTTGGAAGGCATAAGAAAATACAACTTCTTGGAATATCAATGGGACTAGTCAGAAGATTCATACTCTGATCATAGTAGCTCGGCAAGTCGCTACTCTCTGTAAGGATTGCACAACAACCTTTGCCTACCTCAATCAGCTGCTGTATGTTAAACAATAAACTTATACATCCGAAAATAAAATACTTTAATAGTTTGATGTTTGTATAAAGTTTTAAAATGATTTTTTTGAACAGATAATGAAATATGCTCTAGAAATGAAATCGGGACAGAAAGAAGGTCATCAAAAAATAAAATAATAGCTTATGAATGTAAAAGTGTTATAAAGGTATCTTGAACAGTTTCAAAGATATGCTCTAGAATAATAATTATATACCAAAAACTAATTCAAATGTGTAGTAAAAATCATTCAACAAAGAATTTTTTTCCATGGAAATGCAAAAATTATTAAATCTGACAAATTTCTAATTAGCAAAAGGCACAACTACTGTAATAGGATGATGTGTGTTCAAAGTTTCAAAAAGATATGCTTCGGAAACAAAATTATACACCAAAAACTAAGTCAAATTTGTTTCCATGGAAACACAAAAAATATAAATCCCAGGAATTCCTAAATAGCAAAAGGTTGATGTGTGTACAAAGTTTCAGAAAGATATCTTGAACAGTTTATGAGATATGCTCCCGAAACGAAATCAAGATGGGCGGACGGACCCCATTTTAATATCCCTCCCTAACTTCGTTCGGCGCGGGATAATAAATATTTTCTTACATGTACATGAGATCTAAAGATGGTCAAACTCCACTAACATTTCTAAAACCGGTATCAATATAAAATATATGGTCAAAAGTTTCAGTAATTTGTAGTACCATGATTGTATTGGGAATGCCAGAAATATTTTAACATATACCCTTTAAAGAGAGGAATGACATTGCAATGAAGTATTGTTAAAGAATAGTTTAATTAGTTTTGGAATTAAAAGAATGGAATTGTGTTTGCAGGTCTGGATTAATTATCCAGAAAACAATGTACCAAAATTAACAAAAATTGGGAACAGAATGAGATATGTGGGGTTTTGTTTAGAGAGAATTGGTCCCAGGGCAAAATGTATATACAAATCATTTATTCTTTGAGATTGGTTCATAGTATTATATCATCATAATAATAAAATATAAAGTTTGGTCATCAAATGATAAAGCATATAATATATAATGAAATGTATATAAAACGTAAAGTTAAATAATAACAATAAAAAAAGTCTGTCATCAACCTTCACTTGAATATTGTGTAATTAAATTTGAGAGAAATTTATCGGATTAATCTGGCACCTCCTGTAGCAAATTTCAGTCTATGAATTCCCAGAAAATTCAAAAAATTACCTCAAGTCTTTGACAATTTATTATCTTTTAAGGAAATTCTTAAAATCAATTAAGGTAGAGCTAACCCTTTTAAACCTAAGATATATGAGATTTATAGGTAATGTTTTCGACGACTCTGTACCCTGTGAATGCCAGACCTAGCTCATTAATTGACAGAGAGAATAGACAGGGCACTAAGGATTAAACAGTACTCATTAATCTTAGAATTTATTAACAGATAATTTTAGCAAATTTATAAAGATGCACTTTTAACATACTTTCAAATCCTTTGCAATATAAAGCGTCAATTAATTAAATTCATTTTTTCTTTATTTCTAAAATATCTAATTTATTCAGATCTATACATATTGTAAAAGCCCTCTGAAATAGTTTTGAGGAATATAAACTACAAAAAAAAGGACTCTCATAAAAAGCACTTAAATGGACTCAACAACGAAATGTACATAACAATAGGGGTAGGGGAAATCTATTTTACACAAAAACCAACAAGCCACGTCACCAGTGTGGTTGATATAAGATATATCTATATACTTTCTCGTCACAGTCTCTAATATCCCCTGTATTGTCTTATACCCACTTTACTTACTATGGATGCCTTGACCAAAATTAATTTCTTCAGTTTAATAGGATTCGTTTCTTGGTTATTTTTCTGAAAATAGCATGCAATTAACTATGCTCTGATTATATTGGTCCCTATCAACAAAACTGTCTGTCTGAATGGGGTATGATGGAAATTTTGCAAGCGCGCTACAGCCTACTTTTATATCAAATTCTAACTGCCAAGGGATCTTTTATGTGCACACCAATGTGTACATGGGACCTCCCTTTTTCATCGAATGACTATACATTGTCCCTTGCCAGGCCCACGGTCCTGCACCACTGACAAGGAAGAACAACGCTGGAAAATCCAGATGAACTTCTCGACCAATGCAGGCATTGACTCAGGACCTCCAGTTTTGCGAGTCAAAATCTTACTTACTAAGCTACCATCGTTCCCATCTACGATATCACTATTCTGGAGCAGTTGTTCGGTCAATAAGTAAGTGAACAAACATAAATCAAGCATCCTCCATAACACAATGAACATGAGAAAAGTGGTAATACTGAAGGATACCCTGAATGGTATAAGGATTTTAATAACAAAGATGTATGCTATATAATTTCATAACTCATACAATATCTGTCTGTAAACTTTAGTACTAAATGCAACATAAAACATTGTCTGGTTTGAAATATGTGACAAATTACAATCATTGCTTGTTTTGTTGAAATGAAAGCATGTGACCAGCTTTTCTCAGATACAGCAGAATAATTTAATAATAGCATTTTTATCCAACCAAGGTTTCAGTTCTGTCTTAAAACATGATTTTTATTTCACAATTCCTTTTAAGCAAAAACTTGTAATACATAAAATTTGTGGCTATGATGTTTCACTTCTGTATGTCAGTAAATTACAAATTTATGTTTTTTGTATGTCAGTAAATTACAAATTTATGTTTTTTGTATACCAAATTAAAAGATAAATATCTGCCATTTTATCAGATAATTTTGTATATCACAGACATAATATAAATTTATACACAGCTGTGTTTTGTTTGATGTCTAATTTCATCAGATCTGTTCGCATACTTGTTCCTTACTCTATCATTTTTACATTATGACATCCTACAATTGGTTTTATAACAATATTTTAAAAAATCGTGCAATCTCTGGAATAAAACTATATATAAAAACTTCTTACACCAACAAGTACCAAGCTATGAATTATTGCGCAAATCTTTCGCTCTTTTATGAAATAAAATGGACAGATTAATGTACATGGAGCAGTCCATTTTAGAAATAACACTATATACATCTAATAATAATAATATATTCATCTTTTAAAGAGACAAGCTAGTTTAAAATTCTTCTACTCTCTGATACTAAGACATCACATCTATGGCAACATTACTATATACACTGGTTATTAAAGTCAATAATTCTTCTGATGGCTGATCCATTGAAATTTATTTGCCAATGGTTTTTCCGTAGAACTTTCTGTTCAGTAAAAAGATAAGAAGGTTGACATTTACTTTCGCTTTATTAAACATCTTCATCACTGCTACACCTTCATATTGTAGTTGCAATAAATCCTGGAAAATATATGAGAAGGAGGTTAATCAATGTATTTATAGCAGAGAGAGAGAGAGAGAGAGGGAGAGAGAGAGAGTTTAACATTCACACTACATAAACTAGGCCACTTATGATCTAAGTGCCTACACATTCGGCCACCCAACTTCCCCATGCTTAAAGAGAAAATTATTAACCAATTCAAGAAATACTATGACAGTTTTTGTGCCAAGTCTTATATGAAAAGCTGTATAGCATTTAATTTATCATCACTGTGGGTTTTAAGAATTCCATTTGAAAACTGCTTTTATTCTAAAGGATCAATAGCTCTTTTAAAAAAATTTGTTCGTCTTTAATAAGTTTTGTTTTTTTTCTTCAGCTTTCTTATACTCAAGCCACCTGTGACAGACAACATCGACATTATTTTAAAGATGTATTATATAAGATTTAGACAAACAGCTGGCCATTCTTTTATTCATAAAACTATATGACTGTTTGAAGATGTAGAGTAGATCGTTTATTATCATAGCAACGGTACTTGACAACCAAGACTTAGCCTTGATTATCCACCTCAATGTTAATTTTTTTTTTACCTTGCTGGTGTTCAAATTCATTTAAATCTCTGCCATCCGATGATTTATAAAGGTGATTATAGGCTTGTCATATGAATAAATATCTAAATAGTAATTCATATAACATTTGAAGCCAAGAGAAAAGCCTGCAATAGGCAGATTTAGCTCTAACATAATGTATCTTTAAGTCTGTCAGTGGATACATTATATTAATGTCATTGGCTTGAAGAATATTGTGGCAAACGATTCTTGCTTGGTTTACAAGCTAAACAGTAAAGTGATTTTTCATACAATAAGGGACCATAATCCAGGAGGTTGGGGTCCGATTAGCGCAAATATCGAAAGGATCACAGATCTTTGGGATATAAATATCTATTTTAAGTTTAATCAAAGTCGACTAATAATTGTGACCTTTTGAAAGTTCACAACCTTGGGATTACATACTTTTACACTATTTGTGTACAAAGAGCGTCCATTTTGTTGGGCAATTTTTAAGAAATTCGAACTCAACTGTCACTATGGTGTAACAGTGATATATTTAAATGGTTTTTAAATTGGATAAAAATTGTGACCTCAAGAGATTCCACAAACGATTCTTTGTACAATCAGGGGCCATTATCCAGGAAGTTATGATCCGATATGCGCAAACATTGGAAATGCAACCTTTGGGATATAAACATATATCAAAATCGGATAAAAAATTGTGAACTCTAGAGGGTCACAACTCACAATCTTGGTTATGCACATTTTTACACTATTCGCGTTAAGAGGAGCGGCCATTTTGTCAGGCAGTTTTGGCTTAAAGATAACACCGTCATCTGTAAATGGCTGTTTGTTTTTTTATTTCTGAAAACTAATTAGAGAGAGCTATAACATATTGTTTGACAAATGGTAAAAGTAATATGTTTCTTAATATCTATTCTAAAGCCATGTTTGTCTAGTAAGGAAAACTTATAATGGATAAAAATACTTCCAAAAATAGAATATTTCTGATAATAATTTAAATGTTTTAAATAGTATTCAAAGAAAACTTGGGATAAATACAAGTAAAGATATTTCCAGTTAAATTACAGAATCATACAGCAATCAAAGTTACAATACTGAAAAAATCATTCAGATGGAACATGTGTTCATTTATTTTATTGGTGATCTTCTCATCAAAATGTAAAATCATTTTGGAATGATCCTTAATAAAGATATGTGATATTTCATTGATGTTTCAATAACGAGGTAAATGCCAATATATAGTCCTGATTCGACATAATAACCAAGGAACAAAATGCTCTTTTAAAATGAACAGATTTTAAACATTGATAACATGATTGAACGAGCTTCGTTTCCACGTCAATAATTTAAGTCAAATTGAAACCTCTCTCACACATCAGATGCTTGGTAAGAATTGTCTAGAACGCATAATAAAATGGCCTTAATCTAAAAAGTATACCCAATTGGCTTCTGTGAGTTAATTTAACTATCCCACGCTAATGCATTAATTAATGTATTTTATATATATAGTCTGTTAGTACAGAGGTTTGCAAGACGACTTCAAACAAAAAACAAGGGAAAGTTATTTTGAGATGAAAGGAAATGTAAGTGACAAAAGAAGACAGATTTTAAGACGAATCTATAATCTCAACTAACACAATTATTACAGCTACAAACTGAGACCAGATAAATATAAAGAATAAACAATGTATATCAAATTTGACATGTTTTCTCTAAAAACAGAGGTCCAAGTGCCTTATTTGGCCACTGTCTTAAACTATATTCTGGTATTTAGGCATCAAATCAAGACATGATAAATACATAGGACAATAATATATCCATTTTGACATATTTGCATGAGAAACAAGAACTACAAATATTAAAAGTACATTCACCATGTACAATATGGATACGTAGAATTTTTTTTTTCCGTTTCAATGTTATATTCTCTGAGAGAATGTACATCTAATAGTGATTCTCAACTCTTTTTCCCCTAATATTTGTTATATATCTGGAGTTTTGTGCAACTATCCTGCACGGAGGGCCTGACATTGGCGTGCACGTAAAAGATCCCCTGACAGTTGGAATTTGATATAAAAGTAGGCCGTAGTGCCGCTGTCCGGGAAAAATTTCCCTCATAGCACACTGTATGGCGTATGCCCGTCTTCATTAGCCTAGTTCGGAGCAGAACAGTAGGACGTTAAACCCCATTTCATTTCATTTCATTTCATTTTGCATTGTCATAATAATGAAATAATAAATAAAAGAGAGAAAAATGGGGTTCAAAGTCCAATCAATGCTATTAAAGTCATTTAGGGACTAACATATAGTGCATCTTTAGTTCAATAAAATACTTGAATGCAGGGGACTTCTGCAGAGAAAACCCCAGCAGTTTGAGATCGAAACCACAACATCTGAATCAATTATAAACCTTAGGATCCTCCTAAACCTAACCCCAGATCTGTCAAACGTTTTGGCAACTCGTCACCGAGAATCATTAATAAACTATTTACCTGAAATACAACTTCAACTTTATCCATATTCACGCCCATAAATTTAGCATCAATGTCAAATACACCAGGATTTTCTGTTGCAGATATTTCAAACAAAACATTCTTAAACCTGTAAGATAAAAACAGTATTTGGAACACGGTTCTAAGCACCCAGTCAACAAAAAGAAAACCATGTGAGATTTAAAATAGTTAGAACTCTTTCTTTAGGGTCAAAAATAAAATTGTTGGTTCCACTGAATTCTAAATGGTGATTTTTCTTTTTGGAATGATAATCTGTCTTTGTGGAAAATTTTACATCTATAGATAAAACCTGTGTTGGAACAAAGCTAAACTAAAAGTAGCACACAAATGGACTTCCACTTAAATGTGTCGAAACAAAATGAATCTAAAATCAGATTTAAGCAGTAAGGAGAGAGAGAGAGAGAGAGAGAGAGAGAGAGAGAAAAATGGGGTTTAACTTCACTTGACACAAAGTAGGCCATTTTGGGACTAACATATTGTTCAATTCTACATTAATAATTTGCTTGCCTGTTGGGATCTTTAGCAGTGGGAGAAAACCGGAGGACCTTGATACAACCCATGAGGTTGGACAGGCGACCCTACTCCTTGTCAGATACAAGCGGGGAACCGAAACCACCTCACCCCGCTCAGCGGTAAGGAAATAATGATATATTACAATATTTGTACTTTGTACTGCTTTTTATTTTTTTAATTAAGGAAAACATCATTGTGTGCTTCAATTCGATGATGTAGGTTCATGTTATATTCACAGTTAACAGAGATACCAAACTACATAACACAAGTCTACAAAATGGTTTTGCTTACTGATTAGTTGGTAAACCCTCAATTTCTAGAATAACACCCTTTTCATGTAGCCGTGCAGCACTGTAATTAATGGAACCCTGTACTTTCTTCTTTTTCTCGGACTTATCTTGCCGTTTAAATAACCCATGACGTTTAGATTTCCTAGAAAAAAAACATAATACAACAATGAGTGAAAGGACTTTTGAATGGACAGCTAGCTAAGATTTATGATATTTTGTGTTCAGGTCAATATTCTGTCATGTAGCAATCTTAATCAAATGTGACAACTGTATGGGATATAATATCTTAATCTTGTGCTGTTATTTCAAAAAAATATAACAAATAATAAGCTAACATTAATTTATCAACAATTAGCTTACACAGAAAATGCTCATGATCGAATTTAGTCATGGGTTTCATGTTGGCAACTATACACAAAGTTCAATCACTCTCCCTAAATTAGAATCAAAGCTATTGTGTTCCAAGGCATTGACTAATCAAATTGTTTATCAAAAAGTGTTATATGGACAAATGGACAGGCAGACACAGATCGACAGACGGAACAGTTTTAAAAGGCATGGTATATTGAGAACAATAAATGTACATTTTTACGGCTATAGTGTCGGCTTATAAGTGAATAAACATCATTGAATTGACTAAAATGTATGTTATATAGTACTAAATTCTTTAATCAAATTGGATGTGTTCATTTGTCTTCCTAAAATTAGTAAATAAATTGCCTTCCACTTAATGCTCAGCAACAAAAATTCAATTTTATTGATCTGGTCACATAGTAGGCTATATGAAAATAACACATATCAACCTAATACAATACTTTATTATGATGTAAATCAAAGAACTTTAATTCCTCTAAGTAGATTTCTCGCTATTGAAATTAGATAATCAATATCAGTTTGTGTATTTGCAATATAATTAGACAACCAGAAAATTGTTTACATATACTATTGCTATTTCAAATGGCTACAGACATAAATAGACCATAATTACATATATATGTAAACAGCAATTTTCATCATATAACTATTAACAGTACACAAACCGTCTTGTCAGATTATGGCTACAGCAATTTGAATTTTGTGTTCTATTTCTTCGGGAAAAAATAAAGATCTAAAAACCCAAAATACATGGGTTGTACTTCTAAAAAGCTTTTTGTTTCACATTTTCAAATTCTAAATAAAACATTTTTATTTATAAAGATCCCAAAGAGAGAGAGAGAGAAAGAGAGAGAGAGAGAGAGAGAGAGAAATGGGGTTTAACGTCCACTCGACACAAACTAGGTCATTTCGGGACTAACATATGGTTCAATTTTATTTCAATAATTCGCTTGCGCGTAGGGGTCTTTAGCAGTGGGAGGAAACCAGAGGACCCGGAGAAAAGGCAGGTTGGACAGGCAGATCCCAAAGAACTAAGAAAAAAATTGGTTTGGCTTTAGCCATAACTATGTTGATAATCAATGAAAAAGTTTATTATAAATAAACATGTCTTACTTTCCCGTCTGCTGAAGATTTTGAAGACATGTTTTTACATATTGGTTATAATAATCTATCTGAGATTCATAGAATGTCCGTTTCTCATTTAGACTTTTAATGGCACCACGTAATCTCAATAATTCCTGTTTCCTGTTATTTCTATATCTTCTCTGATTTCGGATATCCTGAAATATAACAAATTTAAAAATAGTCTTTCATTTTTTTTTTCAAACACAATGGGTGTAGTCAAAAGTAGCGTAAGTGTAACTCCAATTGTAATTTTTGACCTTGAAGCCCTAATAAAGAAGGGAGATAATTACAGATACTAATTTGATTCGCTGCAAAGGATAAAATTACAAAGATAGACAGTTCAAATAACACTGGTGTTGTGAGAAAAACAAATTTCAATATGGCTTCAACTTAAATCACTTTGATGATACATTTCTTGGAAATGGATTGCTTGACAGAAGTTTTAAGATTCACCTGTACAATGGCATTAACTAATTCTTGATATTTCTTCTCTCTGCTAACCATTCCTGCTAATTCCAATGTCTGTAAATTTTTACGTATTTTTTCTTTCATAGTTTCTAATGGTAACCTGTATATGACAATAAAAGACAGAAATATATTGAAATCCTATAAAATGATATGGAGTGGGTCTTTATGTTACGTTAACATACTGCTTAGGTCATTTGGAGACCAAAATATGGTCAGTTTTATTTCAATGATTATATGTACAATGCACGAGGGAGAATTTTACCCAGACAAAATGTTTGATAAAAGATAGGTTGCAACTAACTCATCCTCAACACACAGAGAGAGAGAGAGAGAGAGAGAGAGAGAGAGAAATGGAGTTTAACGTCCACTGGACACAAACTAGGTGATTTCAGGATTTAAACATATGGTTCAATTTTATTTCAGTAATTTGCTTGTGCGTAGGGGTCTTTAGCAGTAGGAGGAAACCAAGAGGACCTGGAGAAAACCATGAGGTTGGATAGGCAGCCTTACTCAAAACCATGCCAGTTTACTAAATGACACACCTTATGATGCAACGCACACACGCTAACCAATCCGTCACCCCCTTCCCCTCCCCCCCTCACTTATAAAGGCATTATAGTCAAAACAATCTGACAGCCGATTGGCTTGAAAAGGTATCAGAGAGCACTGAGAAAAAGAAGGGACTTCTGGTATTGGATGTGTTTAGATGTCATCGTTCTGATTTAGTAATAAAAAATCTTATGAGAAAGCATAATACAGATTTAGTCATAATTCCTGAGGGTATGACCAATATTGCAACCTTTAGATGTTTACATCAACAAACCCATGAAAGTAAAACTGAGACAGCTGTGGTCAGACTTGATGGTAGGCTACAAGCACTCGTATACAAAGGGGATGCGAGAAGAAAACCAGAATTAAATGTCATTTACAGTTGGATAGTGGAGGTGTGGGAGTCAAAAGATCCTGATATGATTGTGAAATCCTTCAAGAAGTGTTGTATTTCCAATGCTATGGATAGATCCGAAGACAATACCCAATATGAAATTGATATTTATTATACCAACAAAAAGTTCCAAGGGGGATCCACCCTGGGGGTTGGACATGGACCAATATGAATAGGTACAACCATATGAAGGATCATTCCGAATTGGATCCAAATCTGTTAATAATTGCAGACAAAATATTAACAAAAAGTAGGTGTGGCACACCCCAAAAAGAGGGGGGGGGGGAGGTGTCATGCACAAAAATCAATAGATACTGTCCTTAGGGTATAAGGAATAAGTAAGTTCCAAGATAATCCATTCATAATTGTGGCCTTCGAGTGCTAAACACAAAAAAAATGGGCGTGACTCTGCCCTTGGGAGCGAGACTTGCACCAAAGTCAATAGTTGCCGTCCTCTTAGGCTAAGAAATACATAGTCATGTTCCAAGCTCATCCATTCAGAATTGCGGCCTGTATATGATAAGCACAAAAATTGGCCATGGCTCTACGCCTGGGGGGGGGGGGGGGGAATCACGTAGCTGAGTGGGTAAGACGCTGGCTTGCTAACCTGGAGGTCAGGTGTTCGATCCCGGCACTGGCCGAGAAAGTTCATGCAGATTTTCTGGCGTGTCTCCAACTTGTCAGTGATGCAGAACAGAGGGCCTGACAAGGACAGCTGTCCAGTCCTCCGGATGATACGAAAAACCGAGGTCCCGTGTATACATTGGTATGCACTTAAAAGATCCCTTGGCAGTTGTAATTCGATAAGAGTAGGCGATAGTGCCGCTGCCCGGGCAAAATTTCCCTCATAGCACACTGTATGGCGTATGCCCGTCTTCATTAGCCCAGCATAGGAGCAGAACAGTAGGACGTTAAACCCCATTTCATTTCTGCGCCTGGGGGTCAAGGACATGCACCAAAATCAATAGTTGCCGTCCTTAGGCTATTAGAAATATATATGCCAAGTTCCAAGACGATCCATTGAGAATTATGATATGAAGGCAAGACACAGACACACAGAGAAAAATGTGCGTGGCTCTGTCCCGTGGGGTCGACATTCACCAAAAACAACAGGATTTATCCTTAGGGTATGAGGAATAGGTATGCAAAGTTTCAAAAGGATCTGTTAAGAATTGCGGCCTGAAGGCGAAACACAGACACACACAAAAATTGGGCATGGCTCTATTCCAGGGGGTCAGGCATGCACCAAAAATAATAGAGATCATCCTTAGGGCATAATGAATAAGTATGAAAAGTTCTCAAGACAATCAAGAATTGCGACCTGTAGGCGACACACAGACAGACACACAAAAAGAAAATGGGTGTGGCTCTACCCCTGGGGGTTAGGCATGCACCACAAACAATAGGGATGTTCCGTAAGGTATAACTGGAATAAGTATGCTAAATTTCAAGATGATACGTTAAGAAATGCGGCCTGTAGACAAACAAGCAAATACAATAAATGGGCGTGACTCTGCCCTTGGGGGTTGGGCTTACACCAAAAACAATAGGGATCATCCTTAGGGTATAAGGAATAAGTACATAAAGTTTCAAGACGATCAATACATAAACACAACCAGGGGCGAAAGCAATCTACGTTTACATTATGAATGTGGACGTCAAAAATGTCTGCAATAGGAAGAATTAGTTCTTGAATAATGCATCTTAAATGTACTTTATAGAATTGACAGACAATGTAAGTCTAATTACCGTGTGTCACCCAATATAGATTCATGTCGCACAAGTTTGCTTTCTTTTTGCGATTTCTGGGCTTTTCTGTCTATCAAATCTCTTTTTTTAACCAAAGCCTGATGTCTCTCTTCCTAAAAATAAATATACATATACATAGACAGGTCGGCTTAAAGTGATGGTCTACTCTTTTTGATAAAATAAAAATAAAATATTGGTAAAATATATATGAACAGATCCCTTTCCAAGTACAAAGTGTCTGATATATTTGGACATTTAGTCAGGCAGACCTATGACTGAACCTGGAAATTGTATACAAAGTTTTTTTTATGATTGATTTTAGTAGCCTAGGGTGACCTCGTTCAGAATCTGCCGGGTGAACCTCGGTCACCCTTGAGCGTTTTGAGAAATTCAAGATGGCATCCAAGACGGCGGCCACATCAAATAATCCCCTATAACTCCCATAGTATTTATTCTAGGATGATAATTTTGGTGTCTAACCGTATGTTTCTGGGGTCAAGGAATACACTGAAATCATTTATTATGTTGTGGGGTGATTAGATGATATTAAAATCAAACATGCCAGGCAATATGACCCTTTAATGCGTTATCGGCGATTCGGGGCGATTATTTCACAGAACCAAACTAAATCTAGAGACAAACTATATATTTCTGGACATAGGACCGCATGAGTGATGGGATAACACCAAATGCAGACCTATCAGGGGCTACGGTGTCACAGGGGCCGGGAGAAGGACACTAAATTGAAAACATCACAAACGGTAAACTTGGTCCGGAGTCTGCAATGTGGCTTATCAGATGTGGATGCAATAGTGACAGCTCATGTAGTACGTGTGCTTGTAGCTGCACTAGGAAGGGCTTAGAATATACAATATTTTGCGCTTGTGCTGTCACAGGTTGCAGCCAGAAACACGACTAAAGTATTAAACTGGATATTATCTAGTTTTGTGGAAGTTATGTTCCTGTTTTGCGGGTAGAATTTGTTTTTTTAAATTTTCAACAATCAGCTTGTGACTCCCTTTTCAGGACCAACCCATGTGGCCCTGAATGCCCTGATAGGGATGTATGTGGTGTTTTTCTATCACTCATACGCTATTATGTCCAGAAATACATAGTTTATCTCCTGATATAGTTTGGTTCGGTGAAATATTTGCCCCCAACCGCGCGAACTAGTGAAAAGGGCCATGTTGTCCGGCATGTTTGATTTTAATATCATCTAATCACCCCACAACATAATACATGATTTCAGTGTATTTCTTGACCCCAAAAACATACAGTTAGACACCAAAATTATCATCCTAGAATAAATATTATGGGAGCTATAGGGAATTATTTGATGTGGCGGCCGTCTTGGACGCCATCTTGAATTTCTCAAAACGCCCAAGGCTACTAAAATCAATCATAAAAAAAACTTTGTATATAATTTCCAGGTTCACTCGAAAAATTGGGTTTGGCGACCAGACTAATTCAAACTAATTTATCTAACAAAAGTTTGCTTCAGATCCCTCTCAAAACATTTTAACAGCAAGAAAGCACCCCAAGCCATTATAATCAAGTTGCTTTGTATGTCACTTGACTTGACTGTGGGCGGGTCCATTTTCAACCTGTATTTCATGTTACTCGCTGTCCATTTGTCATACATATCAAAGCCTAGGTAAATTCTTGGATTATCCTCTGTCAACCTCTTTTCACACCATTTAATTGCAGTCTGTTGTACGATTTAAGTCTCTCACTGTTCCCACAACCGCTACCCATTCCATCACACGCTCTCAACATTACTCCAGCAGACAAGCCAGTTAGGGATACCCTTACACTTTTGTCCTGAGTGTGCCCCATAGGGTGTCTCTACTTTCAAATATTCCATACTTCTATTGGAAATAACCACCGTATAAATACCTTCGTGGGAATGCACCTTTAAGAATTTGTGTTATGAATCTAAACAATAGACAAATTGTTACAGTATGTGCAGAGCAGCATAACAATTTCAGATTTACAATTGAATCACAGTAGTTTCCAAAATTTAAGACAGCTAACTGTGCATCAAATTTGAAGATTGTGTATTCACTGGTGCCTTCCAGTATCATTTAATATTTTGGCATCTGGTTTAAAATTTATACATATTCTAAAAAAATGTGCATGCAGACAACATCATGTAGGACAAACCTGAGATTGTGATGATGGTAAATCTAAAACTTTAATAAGATCATCTCCTTGTTGACATGCTATTACATCCACTATCATTCTTTTTGTTCTGAAATAACACATTTAGAAAAAGAATGTATTTCAATGAGTTTCAAATGTGAAATATAATAATGTCTTTCAAGCTTTACAACAAATCCCTAATAACAATAGATTTAATAACAAGAAAGCTATAAAAGAAATCAATTGCTTAATAAAAAAAAAAGTAAAACAAAATGCCACTAACCTAATCAATAATGATTTCATATCAGCCCTCTCGTCTTGCTGTACATCAAATTTATTAGACAATGTCATAGAAATTTCAGTTTTTGCCAAATCTTTTTTTAATTCATCTGATTCATCACCAGTTAAACCTGTAGAGAAAATAAATAAGTCAGCTAGCTAATCCATTATTTCTTTTCAAACAATTAAAGTCGTAATTTGTTTACATATCCGAAATGATATCCACCCACTCTGTCTGTCTTCGAACAACAACTACCTCTTCTGTATGTCTTCAATCAAATCTGTCGTCTGTAAATTAAGTGACTTTCAAGCACACAATCTTTCAATCTATTTTATGTGACTTAACAATCTTTCAATCTATTTTACTAAACATATAGGCACATACTGCTAGCGAGAATATGGGCTTGATGTTCATTTGACAAAATATAAAAAGCAAAATCTTTATACTGTATATAATAATATTGGTGCTTTGACAAGATTCTATGATATAATCAATAGATCTATAAGTAATTATCACTGTAGCATTTCCGAATGATAAATAAATTTGATCATATCTCCAAGACAATTCTACTCACCTAATAATTCGTCAATAACAGGAACTTCTCCTAAATCTTCTAATAATTCGTGTAAAGGATCGTTATGATCTGGTGATATTACATCTTGATGAGATAATAACAACTATAATACAAAATAATAACTATGGTACAGTACAAAATAACAACTACAATACAAGATAACAAGAGTTAAATATGAAGTAATGTACAGCTTCAGGCAGTCTTTGGTGACTTATACTGCATTATCCCAGTTGTTTCTATAAGGCTCTGTACTAAAATACAGTATTCTTACCACCAGCAGACAATTAGAGATGGATCAACAGGAATCACGTCTTCTTAAAAAATAACAATTAGAGATGCGACAAGAATAAAGTGTGAGGATCAAACATGCAACTGTCTGAAATGCGCAAATATCAAAAGGGACTTAGATTTTAAGTTTCATCACAACCTTCGTATTACATACTTTTACACAATTTGCCATTTTGTCGGGCAGTTTAGATTTAATTTTCCCTTCATTATGGTAGAATGGTGATATATTTAAACGTTTTTTTAAAATCGGATAAAAATTGTGACCTCTAAAGAATCCACAAGCTAAAAAAACACGATTTTTCGTACAATCAGGGGCCATGATCAAGAAGTTAGTCCGATATGCACGAATATATCGAAAGAAACCAAGATCTTTGGGTTATAAACATATATTTAAAGATTTATCAAAATCGAATCAAAATTGTGTGATTGTCCTTGACCCAATTAAACCTGATCAACATGTTGTTGTTTGTTGTTTTTTTCTGGCTTTTCTGGCATGTTTTCTGGCTTTATGTGCTAAAAATAGCACCACTTTCACTGTGTGAAAAATGACCGGCTGGGAAAATTTTGAAGTGGAAGCCCTGGTCCACAACTTTGATATACCATATTTTTACACTATTTGCGTACAAGGGGTGGTCATTTTGTCCGGCAGTTTAGATTTGATTTTCCCGAAATTCGAATTCATGGGTAATGGTGACATATTTAAACGTTGTTTTTTTCTTAAATCAGATAATAATTGTGACCTCTAAAGGGACCACAAGCTAAAATCTTGATTTTTTGTATGATCAGGGGCCATAATTCAGGAAGTTACGATCCAATATGCGTGAATATCGAAAGGAACCAAGATCTTTAGGATATAAACAGTAACAGGTGAAAAATGAAAACAGTTGTATATATATACCTGATGAGTATCAACTATTTCTCCGACAGATATATATATAACAGGTTTAGAGATCATAGTTACATCTGTATACTGATCAATATTAAATTTAGTTTCTGGGTCTTCTACTTCACAAGCTGCTAAACAATATCGCCTGAAATTAAAAAATCAAGATTTTGCAAAGTGATCAAGGTCCATAGCTCTGGCAGAAATTATTGGAACTGAAAATCAATAGGCTTCTTTGTCTCATGGTCAGTCGGATAATATTTCGGATAATATTTCTAGAGTGTCCACAATTGCAGACCACCGGCAGTGATGACAATATATGAAATTTCAATGTAGGCGTATAAAAATGATGAATAATGGAAATGCAATTTATCCCTTTTATCTTAAAAAGACAAAAACTCAAAAAACTGTATTTTGTACAGGGTTCAAAAGAAAAGTTTAACAGATCAATAGAACAACAACACAGGGGATAATAATATACATCCACATTAAAGATACATTAGTTAAGAGTTTTATAAAAAGTTGGCCATTCTTGCTATAATAATTCAAAAATAGATGATAAAAAAAGAAAATGTTGAAAATTTCAGTCAAATTACTTTGTTCTGAACGGAATTGTCAATGTTAGAAGTTTGGACTAGAAATAGCCATCAATTGTGTCTTCAGCGTCTATGAGAATTGGCGATCGTTTTGATTGACAAACGATAACTCCACCCACATATTCTCAATTATCAAGTAACATGCTCAATGGCTACGGTAGCCTTGCTTGGCAGGCTTTTCATCACCAGTTTCCGTTAGTGACATCAGCGAGTAACAGTAAACGTTAGCTTGGTCCGCCATTTATTGATTTAATTTTAAATGGACAAGACTGTTTAAATCCAAACTGTATCCAAGCCATCAGTGGGTCTACAGAGTTAATTTTAAACTTGTCGTGTAAATAAAGGTCTAATTAATAATTTCTATAACATCTGAAGCCTAAATAAAGAATTGCAATAGGCAGATTTAGCTCTTGCATAATGTATGTTTAAATGTGGAAATATAAATTGATCTGTTGTAAGATAAAATAACACTCACTTGAATTTCTCATGAGACTGGCGTATATAATCGTTCATACTTGATAAATATGCACTTTCTCCACCAAACTGAAAAATAAACATTTAAAACTTTTATGGCTTGTACATGTCTAGATATACAGGAGTTTCATCATTTTGATTTATAATAGAATCCATGACATGAAACCTAAACTTAAATGTCAATGGTGTTGTCTTTCAGACATCCTTGCAGTATGTGATAATATTCTTGCCCGACATCTGAAACCTTCTACATGTGTCATGAATGCTGTTTATATTTGAAAGACATTTGTAGATTGATAAGGTTTCAGTGACTAACATACATCCTATTAAAGGTCGTTCTTGCTATAATAGTTCAACAAGTGGTTGCCATGCAAGATATGTCCATATTTTGCAAGACATGGACATAGAACAAAATAATAAAAAAAAAAGAAAAAAAAAAGTAATTTTTCGAACGATCAGGGGCCATAATCCATGAAGTTATGGTCTGATATGCGCGAATATCGAAAGGAACCAAGATCTTTGGGATATAAACAAAAATTTTAAGTTTCATTTAAATTGGATAAAATTTGTGACCTCTAGAGGGTCCACAAGCTAAAAATGCTATTTTCACACAATCAGGACCCTGATCTACAAAGTTAAGGTTCATTTGCACCAATATATCTGAAGTTTAATTGTGACCTCTAGTGGAACCACAACATTACATACTTTTACACTATTAGCGTACGAGGAGTGGCCATTTTGCTGTCCGTTCATAAATGTCTAATTAGTAATTTATATAACATATGAAGCCAGAAAAACGACCTGCAACAAGACAGATTTAGCACTTACATAAGGCATCTTTAATCATTAAAACAATTCCATATATATCAAGACAAACGTTATAGCACATAACTTACCCCTTTGTTGGAAGCTGCAAACTGTAAAATTTTAGCGATGGAACCTAAGTTACGTCTTTGATCGTTTGTTAAGGCTTTCTCAGCACCGATAGTTATAATATCAAAGGCATCCGGAGCAACAATAGCACTATTAATATAACGGTAATACAATAAATTACCAACAATCTGAAATTAAATAAATATACTTAGTTTTCATTATAATGTTGATTTCTGGTTCTGAATGGAATAGAATTGAGTTTAAGTACTATCAATACTTTGGGCATTTTGAGAATAATACATGTATGCAATGCAAGGTAGGAGAATTTTGCCATGACATCGGCGCTCTAGTTGACCATATTCATCTTTTATTTCTAATTTCTATGTTCATGCCAATATGTACACGAATCGATCTCCTTGTTAATCCCCCAGGCAACACCTCTGATAAATGAAGACTGAACTTGATTCCTTGCAGACTCGAACCTGTGACATCTAGTCAAGAATTCATGGCACAAACTGCACAAATCGAATTGTTTGAGCAATAATATACAATATCTTACTTTGAGAACATCTTTTTCTGCTGCATCAGGAAATTTCTGTATTAAAGCACTCTTCATTACTTTAGCCATATATCTCATACCATATCTAATTAACACAAATAAAATCAATTACACGAAATAAAAAAAAAGAAGAAATTTACATTTTGTCAAAGACTAATGAAAGTCATCTTCCTTATTATCAAAACAAAGACCACATTGATAATAACAAGTTATCATATTTCTCAATAGGCCTAATCAATCTTTAATCAATCAAATCTGTTCAGACCTGCGCTTAGGAATTCAAAAACACATCCTGCTGCTAATTAAGTTCTCTAAGCAGTCCATTATTATTTTGTAGGTAATAGAAGAATTTAAAAAATAATTAAAATTTGATTGGTTATTAATTCTTCCATGTGCTACAATTTACTATAGAAAACGTGCAACAATCAGATGATAACTTTAACTTTACTAGTTACTTGAAAACATTAAAAATCAATAGGATTCTTCATCTCATGTATTTCAAATCAATTAAATAGTAACTTAAGCCACTAGAGTGTCCAAGATTTATCAAATTTATCAAGGGCTATAACTCTAACAATAATAATCAGAAAAGATTTCTCGTACATAAACACTGTCTATAGGAGAACTTCGATCTTATAAAAATGACCTCCAGAGCATCCACAAATAAATAGGTTTCTTCATCTTATGAAAATAGACACTATGTGTAAATTTCAAATCAAACAGATTCTAACTTTGGCCTTTTAGATTGTCGAAAAGCAATGGTGGACGACAGCCTGATTGATGTGAGTGACAACAATATGATCACAATTCAATTGATGGTCCAACTTACGGAATTTTATCTAAAGATGATAATATTGTAGATAAGAATTTATCTGTAACATCTTGTAAACATTTAATAGATATTTCTACTTGCTGTACGACTTCTGGATGTTGTAACGCCTGTTCTGTTGGTACTTCATACGGTAAATCACTACAATAAACATGGAAAACATAGTCAAAGTATATGTATGTGAAGAGGGTGGGGGGTGGGGGGAGAGGGGGGTGTGTGTCGATATAAACGCTTGTTAACCTCCCAGCTTCCATATCAACAACAAAAATTCTAAAATTGTAGCCGTTTAATAATAGTCTATTTATTTTCTTGATGAGAAACACAAATCACTTTCATAAGGAAGAACATGAAGTAAATGTCTACTTTGAATCCAATTAGTAGGCTTAATAAAAGCCCCAAGGTCACATAACTTCACATAATGTCATTTTGTCTTACTGCGTGACAAAGATAAGTGATATTTTATAAATGACACATCAACAAGACAATTACCGGTAAGAAAAACTCATAAAAGTGGAATAACTCTTGAAGTTATGATTGAAAATTGGTTAACTCAATAGGATAGTTGCTCAAAATAAATTTCAAAAATAAATGTGAATGACAGATGGATAGATACAGGTGCGATGGCAATATACAACACATAAAAAAAAATTGTTGAAAATATGGATATGAATTTCAAGTCTGTTGGAAAATAATAGTCAGTATAGACCCTTTTATAAACTAGTTCAAAATAGGCAGAGATTTCAGGACAGGATAATGTTGTGTTTATATGCCGCACATTTGCCTTCAGATGTGCAAGTTAAACTGGTTTAAAATACAGATGTGACGTCATCCTTTGATGTTGGCATACCATTATTTCCAATAATGTACGGGCAACTTGCCAATCGTACATTATCTATACTAGATGAAATATTGGACTCGCATGACATATTTCATTGAAAAGCACGTGCAGGATAGTGTCTGTATTTTAAGTTGTTTAATGGTCTTGAGGTAAAGACATTGTGTAATATTATTGAAACAACACTCGGCTAATGCCTCGTGCAGTCTCAATATATTACTTAATGTCTCGCTCTCGACAATTAAACCATACTTAACAATCGCCAGGGATTTTAAATCAGTTTAACTTTAGTTAGCAGCTAAAGTACACACAAGAACAGGATTTTTGTGTCATTTCTATGAACACTATGTATAAATTTAAAGTCAATCAGAGTGTCTGCAAATGAAATGAATTAAACATCCTACTTTTGAACACCATCTTATACCATACAGTGTATTCTTTATTTACCTTGTTTTACCAGTTTCTGATTCTGTCTGGTTAATCCAGGCTTTATAAACATCAACAGGGTTGGTATTAATACGTATATTTTTATCATTAATCACGGAATTAATCAGGGGATTTAACATCTCCCTTAAGGCATTCGAACCACGTTGATTCCTGTAATTACAAGACATAAGATAGAATTTATAACAGTCCAGTCATTCAGAATGTTCTTTCAACTCCGATGAAAGCTGGGTTCATTCATTCATACTTACAGCTTTTCCATAATTTTCAAGATCCACAAAGACTCAACTTCTCTTTAAAACATGACAGTTTGCTAGAACTAATAGTACTACATGTATCTTAAATATTATCAATACTCTTTAGTCAGTTGTGTACTGTATGATAGTATGATATTTACATTTTAGTCCATTTTGTATCAAAGATTTTCATATATTAATTCAAAAATTGTTTCCTTCAGATCCGAGTATTCCTCTCGTTTCGCCATATTCTAGTGCCATAATAATTCTCATGTCCATAAAATGAATTACGCATTTTTGCTTGAAAACAACTTATTAAATTCAATTTTCCCAGACAAAAAATTTCCTTTCTAGTAATTCTAGCTTCAAAATGAGACTCAAAATAATATACTGTCTACAAATCTAATTGGACAATTTTACCAATCATCCAAGAAGTTGGATCATTAATTTCTTAGAATTAAAAAAGTCACCTAATTTTTTAAATATTTTTTTTAACAAATTGCTGTCTTATTTTTTTTTTAAATCAGCTTTTACATGAATATTAGCAAAATTGTCCTCAGGATATGAATGAAATTCTAAATATAACTACTTCTAATCTGAAAATAATGATTTTAAAAGCCTAATAAGATCTATCCAAATTACCAGGCATGGCATGTCATATACAGCTACAAGACACTAATGATGTGCTGTACTCTTTGACATCCTGCTCCAACATATAACCACAATTTTTATTGGTTTCTTTGTTATTTCATTTGTTGTGAACTTATTAATCCCCCGTCTACAGGTTTTTTTGCCATTCATAAGAAATATTTTCAGTTAAAAGCAAGCTTTCAGTTTGCCATATATGACCCTATCAGCCCTGAGGAAATTTACCTGGTATCTTGAATTTCACCGTATCTGCTTTGAGCTTATTAATCACTTTAGTCTGCAGTTTTATTAATTCCATTTATAAGAAATAGTTTTAAGGTAAAAACAAGCTTTGAGTTTGCAATAGATGACCTTATCAGGCTTCAGGGAATGTATCTTTAATTTCTATGTATTACAGAAAAGAAACAAAATCTTCATGTGACATCAAAAATATATTAAATGGATTAATTTATTTTCTTACCTGTTGAACCCTACAATCATTTTAACAACTAATGGGTTACCCGATACAATATCTGTCATCTTATCCACCTTGGATCTGAAACAAACAAGAGATCACAGATTTCACTGAAAGATCAGATTTCAGAAATCTTAAATGACATTTAATAAGGTATACGACCACATTACATCATTAATATCCCATTGACTCTAATGTTAATTCTCGTTTCTTTGACCAGTGCTTAACTTTTTCACAACATGTGGCAACCTCTTGCTCAAACAAAGGCTAGATCTAAAGGCCGAGATGTAAATAAGGTAAGGGCACGTGATTGCTGGCGAGATTGTAGGCTAGGGTTAGGGTAACCATGAAAATCTTGAGATATACAAACTGGAAGTAGTATACTACTACTAGTAAACATACAACTGTCGGCCCTACATTTTTACGTAACCAACCTCTCAACTCTTTAATCCATCCACCTCAAAAACATGAATATTCACCAAAACCTGGCAGAAAATGTATGTATCTCCAATTCTACACCAAAAAGTCAAAAAAATTTGCCATGCAAAAGGGAAACGAAGAGAAAGACTATTAACTTCTTTTGTACTAGATTCGTGAATAACCAACGATTATGCAATGAGTATATATGCGAGTCGAAATTATTTGTCATCATCTATTAATCTTTTACCATAATAAATGTTGCATTTCAATTTTAGAAATGAAATGGGGTTAACGTCCTACTGTTATGCTCCTATACTGGGCTAATGAAGACGGGCATACGCCATACAGTGTGCTATTAGGGAAATTTTGCCCGGGCAGCGGCACTATCGCCTACTCTTATATTGAATTCCAACTGCCAGGGGATCTTTTACGTGCATTCCAATATATACACGGGACCTCGTTTTTTTGTCTCATCCGAAGGACTAGACAGCTGTCCTTGTCAGGCCCTCCGTTCTGCACCACTGACAAGGAGAAGCCACGTCGGAAAATCTGGATTTTAGAAATCTAACAATTAGGGTTGGCAACCAATTTAGAAAATTATTAAGATTCAAACATAGACAGGGACTTCTCAGGCTCACCAAATATACCAATCAGCACTAAATTTGCCTGTGTAGGCTCTATATCGTCTATAGTGCAAATTTTCAAAAGAGCTTTAAAACCAGAATTGTGAATGGAAAGATAACTCAACAAAATTTATGAATTTTGAAATTTAATAAGATCCTACTGATGCCCCAAGTCACAATCTTGCCTAGTGTTTTTAATATTCTACAGAGATTTTTGTTCTGTATCTATTTACAAGAATTCATAAATTTGAACAAAGAATAAGGGGGAGTCAATTCTGCAATTAGCCATCCCAAAATTCTGAATGTTGATGGAGTTTCTCCTTAAATGCGGGCAGATAAAAAGTTTGTAGATGGCCGTAAAATTGTACTTGTAAGACTGGGCAGCATTGTACTTTCTTTTCTTTTTTTTAAAAATGACAACCTATCTTATTAGTTGGTGAAACTACAAGAAAGCAACAGCAAAACCAATTTGTCAAATTCTAGAAAACAAAAATCTATCAAAGCAGCGGGTTACCATTTGCTAACTAGAATAATGTAAAGTTGGACCTCTAAAAAGAAATGAAAATGAAATGCCTAATGAAGACAGTATATACTACACAGTGTGCCATGAAGAAAATTATACTAATACAGGGGCGCTACGGCCTACTCTTATATCGAATTCCAAGTGCCAAGGGATCTTTTACGTGTACACAGGACCTCTGGTTTTCCGTCCCACCCAAAAGACTATATGCTGTTTCTTGCCAGACGATCTGTGCTGCAACAATGACAAGGAGGAACCCTGAGTTTGTGGGTTCACCTCTAAAAGGAATATCAGTCCAAAATAATATATAGTAAGAAATGATTGGTTTCTGCATAAAATAAAAGTAAAGCTACTCAATAATGTCAGTAAAATGCACAATCTCAAATAAGCCTATCTATTTCTCTAGAAGGAAGTAAATTTTATAAATAAGATCATGCAAAAACAATTCCCACATTTTCCATATAAAAAACAAAAATTTCTATTGGTGCAAATATTTAATACAAATCCCAATGTTCCCAATCTTACGTTTGACCAGGTTCATCTTTTGTCCTACAAAATGTAAGTAGAGCTAATAACTTCATAAAATACGACACAATTTTTGAAACAAAAGATAGTTTGCCTGTCAACGAAACATACAACACACAGAAGCTAAGTCGTTCAAGCAGTCCACAAGGTGTGAATTGTCAAATATTGTCGATAATGAAAGCCTTTACAAGACGCTAAATCCAAACTTATATTTTAAAGTGAACAAGAGCCATAACTCTGGAAGTAATTAACTGTGGTCTCTAGAGCTTCCACACAAGAATTTTCAAAGTGATGAAGGGCAAAATTTTGGTGGACAGAAAGACGGACCAGGATGACAACAATAAACGACCACATTTGAATGTGAATCGTAATAAGAATAGAGTGAGATCCGAGGTATCTAAAACCATATGTAAAATATAAACTTTGATGGGATCCATGTCACAATAAACTTGATACAGTGACACCATTAGGAGTAGTGGTTAAAAACAAAGTCATGGGTATCACAAAACCATCTTATCTAATGCTTTGTAATTGTCAAAAAACATACTTCCTTGTGATACCTTTGACGATGTTTTCAATGTGGGCGTATAAAAATAACTTAAGTTCAGCTAAGAAATTAACTCAACAGAATAAGAATCCAATCCAACCGGCATGCTTTCTTCTTATATTATAGGTTGAATATGACAAAAAATTATTCTGAAGTTTATGTATTTATAAAGCATACAATGTTACTATATTGAAGGTAGTTCTTACATGTCAACTCCTTTATTAGAAACTAATCTAAATGTTAAGAAATGAAATGAGATTTTTTTTTTTATTTCAAACCAAATTTCATATTTCACTTCAATCTAACAAAACTCAATTTGACAGAAATAGAATTGAATACTGGTACATATGAAATCTAAATATGTTCTCGCTTAATGTTAAAAAATGAAAAGAGATTTTTTGTATTTTAAACCAAATTTCATATTTCACCTTACAGTAAATCATTCTGCAAAAAAAAGGAATTTTATAGGGTGACAGAGTAAAAGCAAATTTATTTGCAACTGACTTCTATAAATAATTAGATATTTTCATCTTATTTTCAAAAAAGATAGATTGCCAGGCAATGAATCATATGCCCACAGGATATTAAGTCTTTTGTAGGTAATAAGTAACATTTACAAGACAATTTCATACAGATGAAATTATAACTTTCATCGTTTAAAGGTTCACAAGGTTCAATAAAGTGAAACAAGGGCCATAACACTGGACGTAATAAACTGAAATTCAAGAGGCGTCTTTGTTTTATTAATTTAAATAATGCATATGAATTTAATACAGATTGGATGATAACTTGTCGTTAGAGCGTTCACAAGGTGTAACAAAGTCAAACAAGGGGCCATAACTCCAGAAGAAATCAACGGAAATTATTGAAATTCAACAGGCTTCTTCATCTCACTAATGTAAACAACATATACTAATTTCAAAACAATCATATGATAAAATTAACCTGTAGAGTCTTCACAAGAAATTGTGGACATACAGACATACGGACAGACATACAGCCCGGGGCGACGGCAATATACGACCACATTTACATGTGGGCGTATAAAAATGAAATTTTTATAGTCTTGATGATTTTCACCTATTTTTTTTATTTAATAAAATAGTTCTAAAAGGTCTAGAATACTGAAACTATTTTATTATGCAAGTTATTAGAATTAAATTGTATGCTTGTTAGCACTTTTATAGTATTAAGGAAATACAACATATGTCCCATACCTTGACAGTTTAAGTCAACACAGGCATTTTGGGGGTTCAAAGATCTTTGAAAGATGTTGAATATAACAGAATTAAAGATGCATTATGTAAGAGCTAAATTTGCCTCTTGCAGTGCTTTATTAATTAGACATTGATTCATAAGACAAGCCCATAATCAACACTCTAGACTGTCGGATTGAAACATGCTCGCCATTTAATAATAAAAGTTAAAAATAGATAATCCAGACTTTGTTTATTATCGTAACAACAGTGGCATTGAAAATCGAGACTACACTATTCTTCAAAAAGTTATAACGTAGTTCAGAATAAAGTAATTTGAATGGAATTTTCAATGTTCTCCTTCTTCATTATCTATTGTTAAACTATTATAGCAATTATGGCCAGTTCTTTACATAATGAATCTTTAAAGGCCTGATGCATCATTTAGCACTATATCTTATCACATAGTCACTGTATCAGACACATGTTGTATTACCTTGACATTATTAAGATGGCTTGTGAGTAGTTATTGTATAGGGTTATTATTGTTATGATCGAAAACTATGTGTAGATTGTTCCCCATGCCTTAAATTACGAAAGAGTATACAGTTACAGGGGATTATAACACATGCATAATATATGATACACAATTTAATGTATAGAAGAAATTATGAAATTAAATGGAACAAATGGAGTTTAATGGTACACAATGTAAATCTGGACACATAATCTATAAGGAATATGCAGATGATGATAGTGATGTCAGATATTCATCTGATTCTACAAAGTACCAGTACCTATTCTTACCATACCTCGTCTAATAATCGAAACATTAAAGATATATTCACCAAATACCTAATTATATGACTACATTAATGCAATAATGATTTACACTAGTACAGAGAAATCTGGAAGTTTTACAGAGAAAAATAATTAAATTCATTGATATTTCTTATTTTCTTTCAAACATCAAAGTCTCCAATGGAGATAACTAATATATTCCACTAATATGACTGAATTTCTTCCATATTTCCAAAATTAACAGACCAATGTGCATGGAATCTACTAATCAATTTCAATCTCATGAATCTACGGACACAGATGCCAATTGCCTTAGTAGAGTTATATCCCCTAGATCATATTTTTGACAAATGAAAAAACAATTCCACAACTATCATTTATTTGAAAAGTTTCATTATTATGTATATTTTAAGGTTAACTTTATTTCATCCAAGATTTCTCTGTACATAAGGATTTGAAATCAAATGTAACCTCTATTTTTCCCATGATTCTTTGTAAATGATATAAGAAAACAGACGGTATTTACTTACAGTCGGCTAAAAATGGCAGCAGCAGAAGAAGAAAAAATGTTATTAGCATTGAAGGCAAGTTTAAAAAAAAAATATTTGAGTTAGTAATGTCAAAAAAAAAGGAAAAAACAAAAGACAACATTGAAGAAAAAAAAATGTTATTATATGCCATTCATCATTCTGTGAAAAATAAATACAAAATAAAAATGTATTAATCGTAAAAAGGGCAGTCAGAAATATATTTTCAGCAACTGAAAATTATGTAAAGTAGCTGTTAGTGAGAAACTTGTAATTCAAGAAAAAAATAAACTTACAATATTTCCTCCCTCAAGGCTGTTTCAAACAACTTTAATAGCAGATATTCTTCCCTCTGATTGGCTCCATAATTGAAAAGGGAATAAATGACGGACTCCATGAATTTCGTTGTCTTCACTTGAGGCATCTCAAATATCAACTTGGCAAGGTAATTTGGATTTGTTTGAAGTAGGTAAAATAGATGTTGGTAGGTTTGAAGTTTTTCGTGACTTTCTCTACTCAAAGCCTTCAAACCTTTAGGTCCTTCCTGCTCTTGGTCAGCTCTTTTTGTTAATTTCTTGTTATGCATGACAACATCCTAAAATTCAAGCGTTAACATACAGAAATATAATCTAGAATGAAAGTATCTAAAATATGTGTTGAGAGAGAAATGGTTGAATCTTTAAACATACATAATTCAAGAGCTAAATCTGCCAATTGCAGGTTTTCCTTTAGGCCTGAACTATCAATTAGACACTTATTAACATGACAAGACCATAATCAACTCTCGATGCCAACTGATTTTTATTAAATTTGAATCCGATCTGCTCATCAACAGCTGTTGATGATTAAACATAAAATTGAATAATCGAGAAATCGTTTTTATCGTAATGATGACAAACAAGGCTACAGTGTTATTAAAATTAGTATTTCTCAGCTCAGGGTTAAGTCATTTGTCTGAAATTTTCAGACTAAAATATTCTAAATTTTATTTCTTTGGCTACATTTACAATGCAAGCGGGGTGGGTGGTGGTGGTGAATTTTTCTGGACAGCAGTAATTCCTAATACTCTTCTCCCAATTGCAACGACAGGCACCACAAGGTTTAAATAACCCTGAAGGTTCTTCTTGATCAATGCCAGGATTTGACCTTAGACATTCTGGTTGTGCCTTATTTATCAAACAACCACAGCTCCCATTTGAGTTCTTTATATGATTACTGTTTGAGTCAGTTCACCTTAGTATTAGTATCTAAACACTAACATACCTGAAGTGTGATTCTATTTTTAATAAGGAGCCCGATTTTAATATCCATTTGATCTAAATCATGTTCAAGTTGATTGTTAGATCTGATTTCAGCAACGACTTGTTGACGTAATTTCTGTAATTCTGTAATATTAACAATATAAAAAAAACATAAGCCAATGAAATTACCGAGAAAGAAGTACACAATGCACCAAATGATGAATTAGATTGATCTGACGTGCTATTTTGATTAGTAATGGGGGCAAGCTCTATTTAATTCATTTTCTGTTTGGAAAGATGAAACAGAAGTCGATTTGTTTACTAATATTAGTTTCCTGTACCAGCAGTGGAACATAAAATCGGTTACATCTTTTTGGTCCTAATCAACATTTTTATTTTCTATCAAAATCTAGCCATCTAAACAATGCGAAGACTATACAACAAAATGTTTCAAAGGTTCAGCTAATTTATTGTCTTGACTGTCTCAGTTTTAATAATGTCCACTTGAATACAATAGATATTGGTCTGGACAAAAGAATGTTAACTGTATATACGATATCTAGCTGTGGTCATACAATGACTTTAGATCTGCATTTTCCTCATAAAACAATCAAAAGGGGAACTGATATCTCTATACCAACATTCATAGGGTCGAAGCAAAGAGAAAAGTGACTAGAGTGATCAAGACTAGCTATTTAACCATAACATATATCAATGGGTTCCAGAAATAATACCAACATTCATAGGGTCGAAGCAAAGATAAAAGTGACTAGAGTGATCAAGACTAGCTGTTTAAATATAACATATAGCAATGGGTTCCAGTAATAATTGAAAGAATAATACTAACCTAATTCTTCAGCATAATCATTATCACTAGCATCGAGTAGATGTACAAATTTACGAACAACAGATAATGATGGATCGTTATCTTGCACTAGATAAAAATAAAAAAACATTAAAATATTATGTCATGCCATTGAATATTTGCCGAAAAAAATACAGAAGAAAATTTCTGCACGTTTTAAGTATTAGTTAAAAATAAAACACTTAATATTTTCAACAAATACTGATTTTCTGTAACAGCAGAGCTGCTTCTTTTTAATAATAATAATAATATGTAGTTGGACAATATCAGTATTAAAAGTAATACTTATACTTACTCAATGCCTTGTAATCCTGTTGTGCCAGATTAGATCTGAAGAAAGCTTGGATTTTAATAACTTTATCTTCCTGAAAGAATGGGGAAAAATACATCTTTAAGTATATTGTGACAAATAGATATTCCTGAATCATCATATAAAATTAACGTTTCAAAAAATATTACCAATTAATGATAAGTAACCTTTTATTTACAAAAGTAAATAAACAAATCCTACTTACATTATCTTTAAAATATTTCAGTCTGTCTCTATACTTCTTTCTATCTCTCCACATTCTCGCATATGATTGAATCTATTAAAAATATATCACAATTTAGAATATAAAGATCATCCTGGGTTAGTAAATTAATATCATTTACTAAACATCAATAGGATCTTTTAAAAGAGCTAAATCTGCTAGGTCTTTCTTTAGGCCTGAAATGTTTTCTAAATTATTAATTAGACATTAATTAACTTATCCGGGCCATAATCAACTCTTAAATTAAATAGATTAGAACAGTTCAGCCATATTTTTATTTAAGCTAAAAATGGAGGAGCGAGACTTAGCTTTGAACAACGAGTGCGGTGGTTGAATTTATTGCACATGTCTTGTCAAACCTTCAAAGGCTAATATCTTCGCTCGCAATAGAGTAATTTGAATGAAATTTTCAAATTATTCATTTTACATTACCTATTTTCGAACTATTATAGCAAGAATGGCTAGCTCTTTATCTAAATCTTACATAATGTATCTTTAACTTGTAATATAAAAATAATTTTACAGTTACTGTACCTTTATGACAGCATCTGTGTTGTCTCCTAAATAATTCTTTCTATTTTTAAATTCTTTTTGTTGTTTCCTACTCTTCCACCAAGCCTAAATAATACAAAAATCTTATTAACTCCACCAAACTGTATATATTTAATTTGAATAGTAAGCCTACTGTCATGTAATTATTGCAATAGACCAAGATGTTTCATCAGATAATATAGTATAAACAACAATGATTGGATCTCTTTCTCATTATCATTGCATCATAAGATAACAATTATGACATCAAATTATAAGATATAAACACAGCAATGGGTGGATTCAACCAATAATATGAAATCAATATTGTTGTATACATTTGCAACAATGTACTTGTATGTCTAATTTTCTGCTATATCGCCATCAAAATATCAATTTTTTTTAATGATATCAGCAACGCTAAATCTTCTTAAAGCAGATTTTGACTTCGATAAACTTTATAATTCTATAACAAGGAAATATATTTTTATCTTTTGTAATAAGTATCTTATTCACATAAAATGGATGAACATGCTAGATAACCTCTCTTACTATAGCAACCTCCATAGCTCCGTTATTTGTAAACTTATCAACTGACTATTGCAAAATATGATCATAACATCACCTAAACACTATCTTTTATTTTATACATGAAATATTTGTCACCATCCTTATGATAAGCTATAGTAGATATAAGCTAATATACCTGTAATTTGACTATATTTGGTTCCTGGTCTTTAAGATATGTTAATCTATCTCTATAATGTTTTCTAGCGAGATAACCTCGAATCATAGCTTGTGATTGTACAATAAAGTCTTCATTTGCTTCAAATAATAATTTTCTATTGTGGTCTGCTGTGATTTCATTTACTACCGTCTGTTAATATAACATATATACATATAAATACACGGTGGAAAAAAAAAAAATATGGATTGTCTGAAAATAGGTGGGCTTTCATCGGAAATTGAGTCCAGAAATAGAATGTCAAAGGCATAATCCTGCTGATGGGCTAAAAAGAAACTGATAAAAATGGATAAAGAGAAGGTGGAGGACTAGATTAGAATTTATCATTAAAACAATGTGCTATCAGACTTGAAGTTCTTAATCAAAGTCTCTACATAGAGATTGGTAAACTTTATAATCTAAATTGTTAATAAAATTGTTAATTCAGTTCTAATGGTTGCTGACTTGTTTATCTCCAGAAAAATGTAAGAGAGAGAAATGGGGTTTAACGTCGACACAAACCGGAGAAAACCCACAAGGTTTGACAGGAGACTCTACTCCTTGTCATGTACAACAGGGGAATCGAAACCACGCCAGTTGACACAATGACAGACCTTATGATACTGAGCGCACATGCTAACCAATCGGCCATCCAACCCCCACTTGAAAAATGTACATCGGCTTTATGCATTAATAGTTTCGGTGACACACTGTTTACCACTATTGGTATTTATTTTATCCATTATAAACACTCCTATAAAGTACAGAAGACAAACTACTCAGCAATGATCATTTTATCATCAGATTTCAGTCTTGATCAGCAGACAAGAAATGTTAGTGTTGACAGTTTTAACAATATCAAACTTTTTCCCATCTACTTAAGTTTGTATTAAAGTCAATAACAGAATAAACTATAAATAAAGATGTAAGATACAATACCTGTATTTCATCTTTAGTTAATATATTATGATCTTTAACAATATCATCTCTCCTGTGCCATGCATATTCTCCTGTATTAGCATTATAAAAAAACTTAGAACCATCTTTTAATCTATTCATAATCCAACCACTTCCACTTTCTCCTGTAAGATAAGATAGATACATCGATAATATTCATTCTAAAATGTTCCATTCCTGTGGATACTTGACAAACTAATTCTACATGTATCCTATTAAAGTAACAGATTAACTAGAAACTTTTATTATCGTCAGTCTGCAGATCAAATGACAAACAGATTATATATTTTCATATCCATTAGTAGACTCATTACCACTCACATATGGGATGGGTAGGAGATGATCACCATTAACCAACACATTTAATTTTTAACAAATATAACTAAAGAGTGACCAGTCACCAGTAAAGCTGTGTCTCAAAAGCGAAACTGAATCCACCAGTTTTCTCTCTGATCACATTTGAAATCCAATCCAATTTTATGAATATAATATATCACCCTGAACCAGAAAGGAAAGATACCAACGGTCTAACATCTAGAAACTAAATAAAGGAAGCCTGCTTCAAAAAAGCACTAACAGCTCTGTTTAATGGGACATGGGTCAAAATACAAAATATCAAAACACTGCTATGCACGACACGACCTTCCAGGCACTGGGACAGGCAATTCGGCAAGGGTGTGGGGTGTGAGTGGTGGTGGTGGGGGGGGGTCTCCCCACAAGGCTTGAAAATTTTTGAAAGATACATGGTCTCTAGTGTCATTTTGGCACATATCAGGGGTAACTGGAGGTCAATTTGATAAAACACAGTAATAATATCAGATGTACATGATTTTGACAGGAAATTTTAAACAAGAAAACAAATGGAAAAACAAAACTGTGACCATCGAATGCCAAAATATCAAAAAGAAAATTTTTTCATCACATGAACTATTGGTTTATTTTTTTCAATACCCAAAATCATGTTCAACTGGATTCAAATGGAAGGGGGGCTGGATAAACTGATGGTGACGAGAACCTCAAGCTGAAAAAGGACGGGCTGGGGCCCCACGGCATGTGGCTTACAGCTTTTAATTCACCAATTTTTAACAAAAAAATTGACTGACAGAATGTGATTCTAATCCCCCCAACTCCACTAAGCATACCCACATTCAGGAAAGTCACTGATTTTCTTCTAATTCACTATCAAGTAACAGTGTATTTTGTTTTATTAATTTATACCAACACGTGTCCCAGCTGCCCCCACCCCCACCCCTGTAAATGGCCGACATACTTATAATTCATAGTTCAGAAGAAAATGTGATCGGAAAATACTGTAACAAAGCTAAAATCCATAGAAACCGAAAACAGCAAATATTGTGCATTAATTATATGTTTTTGCCTATGAGCATTGGGGAAATATGAGTGAACATCAAAAACCATATAAGAGTTACATTTTGATATATTTTGTGCAATATCTCAAATAATGGACTTGTGACATGTGTTTCATTTAGTTAGAGGTAATCACATTTGTTCATAAATTCTCTCCCAGAAGAACGAATATTTCATATAAACCTCTGATCAGAAACAGAGATTGGCCAGATATCTAGAATAAACTATTACATTGGTTGCAACAAATACTGGTTGACAAAAACTCTTAATATCATTGTTTTTAAAACACCTAAACTAAAAACATATTTTGAAAAGAAAAGTATACATTTCTTTACTTTACTTTAGCAAAAAAGACTAATAAAAACTAAAATTTTCTATGGGGTTAGCTTAAAACAAAATGTTAGCAGAGTAAATGTATCTAAAACAAGAGTCCAAGTGGGCATTAATCACCTATCAGGTAATTTGGGTTGAGCTATCAATATATTAATAATATGAAAAAATATCTACATATATAAGGTACCTCTGCTCCACCCCTAAGTAGCCAATTAACTCTAATTGAACAAGTCAGAATTTGCACAACCAAAATAACACAGCTACTAAATACGGTACCTCTATGGATCAAATCAACTCAATCTAAACAAATCTGAATTAGTATCACCTAATTGACATATCTACCAATGTGGATCTGAAGAAGTATTCGAAAATGTAATTCAATGGACGACAAACAGGGTATGAAATAATCCCCTAAGCATAAAAAAAATGTTACCATGTGAAAGCAGAATTTGTAACATGTGCAAAAAAAAGAGAAATTGTGAAAAATATCAACTATTTTGATTTCAAACAAAATGTGTAAAAACTGTGTGATAATCCAAACTTCTATCTGTAAAACTTGAAGCTGTTTGTTTTGTACAAAATAGCTTCAATATTTATCACTGGCATCCACAATTAAGTGTAATTGCAGGCCAATGTTTGGTGGAAGGTAGAAACTAAAGTGGTGGACAAGGAAAGCAGTGTGTCAAAAAATACAGGAAGTGGTATCAGGTGATCTAGAAATGGTAAACATACCCTGGCCTGTTGAGTTAAATGAATTGTCTATATCTAATTCTATCTCACCATCTGACAAAATATTAATCAGTCTTATTTCACCATGTTCAGATTTGTGCAGTAAATAAATATGGTGGCATGCAATTTTAAATATACAATTCAAATTCAAAATATTCATTTTTTTCGTCAACATAAAAAATATATATTACTATCAAAATGACAGCTGACAAGAAGAATACATAGAAGAAGTACAGATTGGTTCCAAGGTCCAACACTATATACTGAAAAACACCCAAAAGTTACCCCCCCTTAACCAAATTCGAAAAAAATACTGAAAAATACTATAAAAAAAAGACCGAAACTTTTCTCTTTGATTCTAATTACCCCCCAAATCCGGAAAAATCACTAAATGCCAGTATTTTTTGGAATTTTTCAGTATTATAGTACATCCGGTTCCAAGCCTGGAAATAAAGTCAACCATCGCTGACATTATCAAGCACAAATTCCAGCTTTGTCAAGTACAATTCCTCAGGTGTGTGCCATTTTGTTATTTCCAGGTTTAGTCGGTTCTATGAAGAATTGCAACAGACATTAATTACAATACAATACAGTACTCTACAAAAATCTGAAACATTGCCCCACCCTCTTTGGGATTCAGCCCTTGTTCAAAACTTGTAATTCTAGTTTACATAGAATAAGTAATTCGCCAATGTGACCCACCCTCTTTGGGATTCAGCCCTTGTTCAAAACTTGTAATTCTAGTTTACATAGAATGAGTAATTCGCCAATGTGACCTTTGACTTACCTGTTTGTGTTTTTTCTATCTTTGTTTCTCGTAGTTTAGTATGGTATAATGGTGTACAATCAGGTGTAATATTCTGTATACCGACATCTTTATTACCTAACGTAGATGACAAACTATCATCATCCTCTTCATCAACGGCTTTATTTATATCAACAATTCCTTTAGACACTGAAATAAATATAACAGTAAATATAAATAAACAGGAAAATGAATGGAGTTTGACACATTACATATCATTCTAATGTCGCCAGAAAATTATACTTTTCCATAATATAAGCTTTAGTGATAGCACTAATGGTCAGTCACATAAACTTCATCATAGAACATATAACCGGTCACATAAATTTTATGATCAAACAAATCTCTGTATTGATTACATCCATCCTTCCTTATACCAGCATTGTGCAATAATAACCTCATACAACCATAAAATATATAATATACCATGGTAAAATAACTGTCTCACATAACTAATAGATGTTAAATAGAGAGAGAGAAAAGGGTTTGACGTCCACTTGACACAAACTAGTAGGTCATTATGGGACTAACATATGGTTCCATTTTATTTCAATAATTCGCTTGCGCATAGGGGTCTTTAACAGTGGGAGGAAATCGGAGGACCCGGAGAAAACCCACGAAATTGGACAGGCGACCTTACTCCTGTCACATACAACCGGGGAATGGAAACCACCTGTTGACTCAACAACAGACCTTATGATACAGTACGTACATGCTAACCTTTCGGCCATACAACCCCCCAGACGTTAAATAAATGAGTCGAACTTAGATCTTCTTGTAAACATATGATATATATTTTATACTATACTATTCAAAAAAAGTAGGGGATATTTGATTTTTGGGGCATAATACTAAAATATGCAAATGACTACGAAAAAAGTCACTATAGAACCTAACAGAAGAAACATTTCCAGTTACATGTGACGCCCAAACGCACCAATAGCTACCGCATGGAATGCAGGTGATGCTTGGGATCATCATGGGGGTCCAACCCAAGATTTGCACGACTCTGACTTTGAATGTTACAGTCATTGTGGCATTGAATTCCAGGGTGGAAACATCAGTTTAATTGTTTTAGTGACCAGAAAACAAATTTTGATATGCGTCGGCTTACCCAAAATGAAAGGTTACGTGCCCTTGGCATGCTACAGATCGGCACAACACAGGCGGTTGTGGCGCGGACGATGAATGTTTCTCAGTCTGTCATAAGCAGGCTATGGTCCAGATACCGTGATACACAATCTGTACAGGACAGACCACGCTCAGGTCGACCAAGGGCGACAACTCAAGCCCAGGATCGATTTATCCGTACCTTGGCCTTGAGAAATCGTGTCATCACTGCAAATCAGATCAGCGCTCGTCTTCAAACAGACACTGGTGTGAGAGTGAGTGGCCAGACGATTCGGAATCGACTGCATAGGGGTCACCTTCGCGCCCGACGTCCTCGCGTGATCCCTTGTTTGAGAGATCATCACATTCAGGCAAGACGTCGTTGGTGTAGGGATCGTCAACACTGGGATAATCGACGCTGGAGCAATGTGATGTTTTCAGATAAGTCAAGGTTCACTGTTGATTTTTTGGACAGACGTAGGAGGGTGTGGCGTCGTCGAAACGAGCGCTTCCAAGACGTTAACGTCATCAGACATGATCGATTTGGGGGTGGTTCTGTTATGGTGTGGGGAGGCATCACTGTTGCTGGAAGAACAGCTTTACATGTTGTTGCAGGGCGTGTTACAGGCCAGTACTACCGGGACAACATCTTGGCAGTCCATGTTGTGCCGTTCGCGCGACGTCATGGCCGCCGTTTCATCTTCCAGGATGACAACGCAAGATGTCACAGGGCCAGGATCGTTACAGGTTACCTCCAACAACAGAACATCACCACATTACCTTGGCCAGCACTGAGTCCCGACCTCTCCCCCATCGAGCATGTCTGGGACATGCTTGGACAGAGGTTACGTCAACGTCAACAACGTCCTGCCAATGTCCAAGAACTTGCTGCTGCGTTGCAACAGGAATGGGACAATCTGGACCAAAATGACCTTAGACGTCTCATTAGGAGTATGCCACGTCGGATCAATGCTTGTTTGGCAAACAGAGGAGGATTTACCCGTTACTGACTTGGTTGTGATGCTGTGGTAACTTTGCTGTTTGACCCCGGGTATCATTTTACCCTTATAATGGTCAGTCTGTGCCTTACTTAGTCTAACGATCATTTGGAATAAATCGATGAATGTGAACTTCATTTCATTTTGTCATTTGTTTCTTCGTCAGTTTCATTAGGTGACTTTAATAACACTTAAAAATCAAATATCCCCTACTTTTTTTGAATAGTATAGTACAAAGCTGAAATTTATTTCTACAATTCTAAAATATTTGTAAACTTACTGTTGACTCCATCCATAGCATTTTGATTGGCTCTTTCAACACATTCTTGTATTTCTTCCAACCATAATACAGCACTTTCATCATTTGTATTCTATAAAAATAGATATACATATATATTGATTAGTATCAAGTTATCAGTGACACATATCAATATCAGCATGAATGAAGTGAAATTTTGCCCAGACAGCAATTGATTTCCAACTGTCAAAGGTTCTTTTACGTGCATGTCATCATGCACACAGGACATTGGTTTTTCCGGACCATCGGAATGACTGGATACTGTTCCTTGTTAGGCCTTGTGGAACTTTGTCGATCAAAACTGGGCTGGTTAGTGAGCCAGTGCCTTACTCACTTAGCCACCATGGCTCCCAGGGTCAATACAACTATGATCTACTATAATCCATAAAAATTAATATGATAGTTTTTTTAACATTACGTTCGACGTTAAAAAGTTAGGAAATGTTTTATGACAGTAACAACACAAGTTCAGAAGATTACCACGAAGATTGCCCTGCTTATTCTGTTATTTAGTATGTTATTTCATACCTTAACTTTGTTAGCTTTTTCTTTTGCAAGTAGAATATGATAATGATATGCCTGTTTTTCATCTATAGCATGTAATTTAGCTGTTGGTAACAGCAACGCTTGCAATACTTCATCTGGTTCACCATTTTCTATAGCATCATTTATAACACCTATAGCTATAATACCTGTAATATATTACAATAATTAGTTATTACAGTAACAATTGTAACATTTCTGTAAAATAACAAAGGACAAATAAATACGTAACAATGATCAGCACTACTTCTTGCAAAATCATATATGAAATGAAATGAAATGGGGGTTGAACTTCAGGGAGTCGCGGTGGATCAGTGAGTAAGATGCTGGCTTAATTACTAGGTCTCAGGTTCGCTCCCGGTGTTGGCCGAGAAAGTTCCTCAAGATTTCCCTGCATGATTTCTCCTGGTCAGAGGTACAGAACAGAGGGTCTGGCAAGAACCCTGTGTAGTCGTTAGGATGGGATGAAAAACTGAGGTCCAGTGTACACATTGGCATGCAAGTAAAAGAAGCCTTGACAGTTGGAATTCGAAATAAGAGTAAGTCATAACGGCGCTGTCTGGCTGTCTGGAAAAATTTCCCTCAAAGCACACTAAGTCGTAACGGCACTGTCTAGACAAAATTTCCCTCAAAGCACACTGTATGGCTCACAGGATCTCGGCAATATAAAGCAATTTGGCAGACTCGGGATAGATCACATACAAAGTTTCACAGCTTTTTGTGAAAAATAAACATTGTAGTATTGTGCTTTTCACTTGTGAAAAATAAACACCGCAGGATTTTGATTTTTACAGTACACTGTCGGGAGAATTATGATTAAATGGTCATTCCTCTGTATAGGGATATCTTGAAATCTTTAGACACTTACGTTCATGTTCTTCTTGTACCTGTTTATGTACAGCTTCAACTGTTTGACTTATTTCATAATGTGTTAATAGTTCACAAGGTAACTACAAATAAAAATAAATTTGAATGAAATAACATTTCTAATAAATCAGAAATACATAGATACCTGTAGCAAGTCATTTCTTCAGAACCAGCATACAGCAATTATTGAATGTCACCGAGGACAAATCTAAATCTGCATATCGCAGATCTTTTTTCTGGCTTCAGTTGTTAAATAAACATGACAAGCCCATAATCAACTCTATCAACATTCTGACGGCTACAATTTTAAGTATCTTAAGAACTAAGATAATAAACAATCTATGCGACATTTTGTCAAAACTTCAACACTCATAATTTCATACAGAATAAAGTAATTTGACTGAAATTTTCAGTATATTCATTTTTTATCATCTACAGTAGAATCTGTATAAGCAGCCACTCCTATTCAGCGACATCTACTTGTAAGCGGTCACGATAAATTCCCCCTGTAGAAATTCTGTTGTTTCATCTCTTTATTCAACGGTCACTCCTCTAACGCGGCCAGCGGTCACTATTTTACTAATAAATTCAACAAAACATCGCCCATTCAACGGCCATTGTTGAATGATACCATCTTGTCGTTCTTTGTAACACCCCCGCTAATCCCGTGAGTAGTAGTTAATTAACTGGACCCCCACTGATCAGGTAAAAAGAAATGTAAAAATAACAATCAACCCGGGATTATCTGTTAATTAATCTTTTGTTTTATTAAACGACTAACCTGATCATTGTTTTCACGCGTAACGACACATTATTTGATACTGATTGAATAAAATAAAAGTACCGAGTTTTGTCACGATCATCTAGTATCTCTCTTAGCGCCTCCTATAACATTACATACAGAGTTACACCCCCTGTAAATAGGTGATAAAATTAGCGATGTTTTTTGTTCATGTGCTTTTTTGATAAAATAAAATGAATTCATCGATTTTCTTCACAAAAATGGATAAATATTATCGAATGCATCACAATGGTAGACAGTAGTATCGAAGGTTGGTACAAAATGACAAGTTTACAGAAGTTATGTCCGAGATTTGAGTAAAGAATTTTCGTTCGGCGCAAGATTCAGCGACGGCCAAATTTACCGCTTCCAATGCATCCAAGCGTAATATTTAATTTATGTCGGCACAAAAAGCAACGAGATTTTATTAAGAGGCCACTCCCGTTAAGTTATGTCCGAGATTTGAGTAAAGAATTTTCGTTCGGCGCAAGATTCAGCGACGGCCAAATTTACCGCTTCCAATGCATCCAAGCGTAATATTTAATTTATGTCGGCACAAAAAGCAACGAGATTTTATTAAGAGGCCACTCCCATTAAGCGGTCAGTTGTGAAAATTCCCTTGGGTGGATGCTTAATGCAGATTCTACTGTATATTTTTTGATTTATTATAGCAAGAATGACCAGCTCTTTATCTAATTGTTACATAATGCATATTTTAATAGTTTATAACTTTTCAAAAAATTCATAAATTGCCAGAAATCAAAAGATACTATTGGAAGAGACTAGTCCCTCTTTGCTGTTCTTGGGGGGCAACACTCTTTTAAAAAAAAGTCTTAGGCTCTGCCAATTCAAGTAAAATCAATATGAAAAATGTCATTCTGTCCTCGGACAATTGCACATTGATAGACAGACTTTGATTTTTACTATGTCACAATTCCAAGTTGGCTGCGATTATGTCATGCTTGGTTCCTGGTCCATATAGTACTTGTTATAATTATAGACTTACTCCTGATTTTTCATGTTTATTAGCTGCCAATGTTGCTTGGTATTTCTCCATATTGTGCTCATCTAGATCTTCTATATGCGCTGCCGGTAAACTAAGAGCTATATAGGTATTATTAGGGTCTCCAGCATCAACAGCCTGATTGATAGCAGCTACAGCACCCAATACTATAAATAAACAAGAAATGGAGTCAAATTACTGAACAGGAACCTTTTAACTGTAATAGTAAAGTCATGGATTTTTATTTGGAAATTGTTCAAATTTACACACAATGTTTTGAAATCCTGTTTTTCTTTTTTGACAGCACATGAAACGGTTGGTGCCCCACACATATAAAATTTGGTCTATGTTTACGCTATAACGTCAAGTTGTCAAGTGATTACAGAGCAGATATGGTCCGCGTGCATAATTTGGAGTATTTTCTATTGGGCTACAAACAGCATCGCACGTGGAATTTCCAACACAAATATCAACTATTAAAGCTGTAAAAAATCTTTTGTTAAAGATTTTGAATAACAATAATATTTAGCTTTTCAGTTTTTACACCGGCTTTGGAAAATTACGTGTGTTTTGTTTTTTAATTTACTTTATTATTAACTATACCATTAGAAGCGGCATCTTTTGGTTTAGTAAAATTAAAATCTCTGAAGCTCCTTCGTTAGGCAAGAATAGAATACTCTTAGTATTTTCCTTTTGCTTTTACAAGGTTGTCTAAAGAAGGAGATACAAATTAGTTTTAATGATTTAGCTTTCTGTAATGTTTCGTAGAAAATCGTCTTTGCACTCAAAAATGCCCATACTTAATGGCTGCTTGTGGTTTACGTTTTCAGTCTATTTTTTTTTTATTGATGTTTAAATGGTTATATCTTGTTAAATACAACACAGCCGTTTACTTAATGACTATAAATGTGAGAAAGTAAGTTAACGCTTGTTATTAATACTGTGGTATAATTGTTGAAATATTTGGAGATATTTATTTATGGTGGGGCACCCTAATAATAAGAGATGGAGAAAGAGGAACAGGTCTAACATCCAATTGAAACAACCTCGGTCATTTCGGGTTTAATTTTGCTCATAGGTGTCTCTAGCAGTGAGGGGTAATATGAGAAAATCCAAAATGTCGGCAGTTAAATTGACATAATTTATCTCTGTTGAAACTATTGAAACTTACCATTTAAAGCTCCACATATTTCCTCATGTTCTAATTCTCCCTTTAAAAAAAACAGGAAATAATCAGAAACCTTTATTAAGTGTCAATCATTGAGCATGAGACTGTTCTTCTCAGTGACCAGGGAAGTATATTAAATTCAATAGTAAGTATGTGTACACATTAATATTTACTAATGTCCTATCAAAGTATAATAATATTTTTTCATTCTGTATTGTATTCGTTTTTGATATCTTTTACACAAAATATAATAGCAACACTGAGCAGGACATCCTTGTTAGAGTGAAAGTGATCTGTATATTCATTATATTACATTACATTAATCTGGATCATTTTCTTTGCTTGACTCAATGTGCCCAAAGTGAAAGCATGAAAGCAATTTCAGTCAAAGCAGATGTATGCATTTATACACCCAGTTACGGAAAACAAAGTCTTTTACAATTCTTCCATTGTTCTTACCTCTTTATCCTTTTTGATATTAAGAAACTTTTAACTCGAAGTGCTCAAAGTGCAAGCATGAAAGCAATTTCAGTCAAGGTGATGTATGCATGTATACTCTCAGTTAGAGAAAAGAGTTCTTTTCCAATTCGTCCGTTGTTCTTACCTCTTTATCCTTTTTGATATTAAGAAATTCTTCTAGATATAGATCTGCTGCTTTATCATAGACTGGAGGTAACTGAGCAGCAGGATTCTGTAAGGCTTTTAATAATGCATTTCTATCACCACTTTCTAAAGCACTATTTATGGCCTTCACTGCTTGCGATTCTATAAAAAGATAGACAAAGAAATAAACAAAAATAGGAAAAAATATTGAATGAATTAGTACATTAAAGTCACATTAGTGAACATTAGATTCAGTGTTCAATGAACACAACTATGTATCCAGATTGACAGTATATCTTAGTTTGCTTCTGTGCAGGTTTGTTTGGCAGTATAACCAATGAGGATAGACACACGCACCTCTTGACAGGCACAAGCATGGGATGATTTCAGGAGCACATTGGTAACAGAGTTAAATTTTGAAATCATAATCTTTACAACAATCATTTCATGCCACAAAAATTTTATACTCTACAATATATAATTACTTTGATATTCTGAATCTGCTTCTAAATTAGCTTGATCTATGGCTGCCTGTAATTCATCTTTATCTAATGTAACTTCTTCCAAATTATTATTATTCTGAAAAATAAAGATGGGATATATAGAATATAATTAAAACAGTCTAAGAAAGAAATTCACTTAAAAATATATGCAGGAAGGTCACAAAATGCGAATTTTTCAATAAGCATAACGAAGTCAAAGATAATGAATATATACAGTGGGAGTAAGACAACAGCTGACAGTGGGAGTAACACAAATCACAGTGGTACACATCCTCGGTATACCCGGTAGTATTATTCCATTCTACTCCACTAACCCCTCGGTCCATTCACAGGGGAGACACAATCAAATTATCCGCCCTTGATAAATGTACTATTTTTATCGACCAATCAAGAGAATTAACTTCTTTGACATTAAATATCTTGCAACCTTTCTCATAATCAAGCATACAATCTGCTTTATTGTGGTGAACGTAATCAATGACGCTAAAACTGGTATGTAAACTGTTTTATGATTGATTTATAGAATCAACCTACATGGCCAATGAAATCATCAAGGGCAGATTATTTGAATTTGTGAAAAGCCTATGAATGGACCCAGGGATTAGTGGAGTAGAACAGATACAACTGGGGATACTGAGGATGAGCGGCAGATGGACAAAACCAATTGAGTTTTAGCATCCTAATATTCTGTAATGAAGACTGGTGCCATGAACAAATCTACATTTTACATCTCTATGGTTGAACAATGACCATTGAGCTTCGTAATATTTATCAAGTCATTTTTGTCAAGTTTCATGTTGATTTATTACAAGATGAAATATATACCATTATTATTTTAATTCTAAAGCAAAAAATATCCATGAAATATAAATTACAAAGTTCTGAAGCACCGACCATTTAATAAAGTCATGTTGTGGTAATGGTAGTAGTGGTAGACTCCAGAATGTTGCTACCAGAACAATAATAATATAGAAGCCTAAGACTACCCCCCTCCCACTGCTTTCTATGAGAACTGTTACTGAATTAATATCATGCAGTATCATTGTTTATTAGTAGCTAATTACCTTGTTATGTTTGTTGTTATTGTTAAATATCCCTTACACCTAGATTATTTCTATTACTGTTATTCTTAATCCATGCAGATGGTTTCTTATTAATTTCATATATATTGTCCACAAGTTTACTAAATTGTCATTTGTGCTTGATAACGATAAGAGGATACTTGTCGAAACGTCATGCTTTTAGAATAAACTAGTGATTGTATCCCATAAAAACTGTGTTCTGTTAATGTGTTCCCCGATCGCCAAATGCCACTAAAAGAATATGAATTAATATGTTTAAAATCTAGTAAATATCTTACATACCTTTTTATTATCTCTTAATTCCCGTAATTTATCAATATAAAAATCTAGGTTACTTTCATCGATATTTTTTAAACCTAAATGAGATGACTTGAGAGCTGCTAATATTGACTGTCGATCACCTTTTAACAAAGCATCATTTAACGAATCTAAAGCTTTGGAAGCTGTAAAAATAAAATCATACACATTGATTACAAGATAAGATTCATTTCTTTATAACAATATTATATCTACTTTAGTTAAATTTTGAAAGGATTAATTAGGATTAAAACATTAACACATTTACTAGTTTATTGTACTAGCGATGTTTCTACGATGGTACTATCTCTTTATCAAATTAAAATGTCACTTAAAGAAGAGATTAAAGAATTGTTTCATTCAGAAGAAGTATTGAATAATAATACAACATTAAAAACACAATATCGGGTAACATGTTTTCAGACACTATACACTATTAGCTATGAAAAATTCTTTTATATATACTATTCAAAAAAAGTAGGGGATATTTGATTTTTAAGTGTTATTAAAGTCACCTAATGAAACTGACGAAGAAACAAATGACAAAATGAAATGAAGTTCACATTCATCGATTTATTCCAAATGATCGTTAGACTAAGTAAGGCACAGACTGACCATTATAAGGGTAAAATGATACCCGGGGTCAAACAGCAAAGTTACCACAGCATCACAACCAAGTCAGTAACGGGTAAATCCTCCTTTGTTTTCCAAACAAGCATTGATCCGACGTGGCATACTCCTAATGAGACGTCTAAGGTCATTTTGGTCCAGATTGTCCCATTCCTGTTGCAACGCAGCAGCAAGTTCTTGGACATTGGCAGGACGTTGTTGACGTTGACGTAACCTCTGTCCAAGCATGTCCCAGACATGCTCGATGGGGGAGAGGTCGGGACTCAGTGCTGGCCAAGGTAAAGTGGTGATGTTCTGTTGTTGGAGGTAACCTGTAACGATCCTGGCCCTGTGACATCTTGCGTTGTCATCCTGGAAGATGAAACGGCGGCCATGACGTCGTGCGAACGGCACAACATGGACTGCCAAGATGTTGTCCCGGTAGTACTGGCCTGTAACACGCCCTGCAACAACATGTAAAGCCGTTCTTCCAGCAACAGTGATGCCTCCCCACACCATAACAGAACCACCCCCAAATCGATCATGTCTGATGACGTTAACGTCTTGGAAGCGCTCGTTTCGACGACGCCACACCCTCCTACGTCTGTCCAAAAAATCAACAGTGAACCTTGACTCATCTGAAAACATCACATTGCTCCAGCGTTGATTATCCCAGTGTTGACGATCCCTACACCAACGATGTCTTGCCTGAATGTGATGATCTCTCAAACAAGGGATCACGCGAGGACGTCGGGCGCGAAGGTGACCCCAATGCAGTCGATTCCGAATCGTCTGGCCACTCACTCTCACACCAGTGTCTGTTTGAAGACGAGCGCTGGTCTGATTTGCTGTGATGACACGATTTCTCAAGGCCAAGGTACGGATAAATCGATCCTGAGCTTGAGTTGTCGCCCTTGGTCGACCTGAGCGTGGTCTGTCCTGTACAGATTGTGTATCACGGTATCTGGACCATAGCCTGCTTATGACAGACTGAGAAACATTCATCGTCCGCGCCACAACCGCCTGTGTTGTGCCGATCTGTAGCATGCCAAGGGCACGTAACCTTTCATTTTGGGTAAGCCGACGCATATCAAAATTTGTTTTCTGGTCACTAAAACAATTAAACTGATGTTTCCACCTTGGAATTCAATGCCACAATGACTGTAACATTCAAAGTCAGAGTCGTGCAAATCTTGGGTTGGACCCCCATGATGATCCCAAGCATCACCTGCATTCCATGCGGTAGCTATTGGTGCATTTGGGCGTCACATGTAACTGGAAATGTTTCTTCTGTTAGGTTCTATAGTGACTTTTTTCGTAGTCATTTGCATATTTTAGTATTATGCCCCCAAAATCAAATATCCCCTACTTTTTTTTAATAGTATATTTGCCGAGAGTCTCTTTTCAGATGTCAACTTACTGAATGGGGCATGTGGACATAATTCAATCAAATGATCCCCTTCCCCATTAAATATCTTGTAACATTTCCATCAGATCCTGAAAAGGTCTGCAGCATAAAATGTTTACAAACCCCTGACTTTAATTTCAGGATTAAATTATCTCTATAAAACGTGCAATGTAAAAACTTACTGTTAACTGTATTAATATTTCCCTGTATTTCAGCCTGAGTTAATAATTCATCATATACATCTTTCTCCATTACACGATCAGCATCCATACTCTAAAAATACATGTATAAGATATACTGAGGGTATTAAAAGACTGTTACATAATCTTTTAGGGGCATTTAGCAATAAACTATAACATTTAATTATGGAAAACAGCTAGAAATGTATTAACTTAATAATGTTGAAAGAATACTCTATTTTTTAATTCATTTATTAGGATCAATTCAATGTGTGAAAGTTACCAGTTAGTGAATTTGCATAACCAGAAAATTTCCAATCATGCAAATTAACTAACAGATAGATTTCAAAGTCAGTTTCTCATTGTCTGCAGAATAGAGAACAAATGGGAACCAGAGAACATTAGATTCTTAAAAATCGTAACAAAATATTCTATCTTAACTGCACATGGATGACTGATATTGAAATACTGAAATCAAAATTTACTTTACTCAGAAGAAATACGATCATGCTTAGAATCAGTTTTGAATTAAATAAAGCCAAAATTGAGACAATCGGTCAACAATACCTTATTTCTGGTGTTTTCAGACTTGGTATGTTTGGCTTCAAACAGGATGGACTGATATTCACTAGAAGTGTCTGAGTCTAAATTAACTAACATGGCAGACGGATTCTGTAGAGCAGTGTAGGTTTCTTTGTGGTTCTGGTTTTCAACTGCTTCATTAATGGCAATAATGGCGGCATGTACTGTAATGTAAATCAGATCTATATTGTTTACGCTCACTTAACAACTAATATGGTATATTTCATAAACTGAGGGAAGGTAACCTACAAATTTATATAGGAAATGAAATTGGATTTAAAGTCCTACTTTTCAGCATAGCCGATCTACAGCCTACTCTTATTTTGATTTCCAACTGTCGAGGGTTCACATGACCTCAGTTTTTAGGCCCATTCAGATGACTAGACACTGTTCCTTGTGATGCCAACCGTCGTGCATCACTGACGAGAAGAAACCATGCTGGAAAATCCTAGGAAACGATCTGGGATCTCCTGGTGAGTGAGCGAGTGCCTTACTCTTACTCACTCAATCATTATGGCTCCGAATTTATACACGACTCATCAAAGATGTCAACGAAAATATGCTAGTCTCCCCCCCAAAATTGTCATGTATATAGATACATGTACTACGATATTTACAGCCCCACAGTCGGCTTCTTGGTTTTGCAATATTGAGACTCAAACAGGGTGATTTGTAATACTACTTTACTCAACTTAGCTTTAATAACATTACAAGACATGTGAAATACTAATACTTACAGGCAGCATCATCTACCGACATCTGAAAAACAAAATGATAATATTGATACCAGTATAAACATACTCAAATTTATTTACAGACACAATCTGGATCATTTTGAGTCTAACATATGGTTCAATTTTAGGGGTCTTTTCCAGTGGGAGGAAACCAGAGGAGTCAGAGACAACCCACGAGGTTGGACAGGCAACTCTACTCCTTGTCACGTACAAGTAGGGAATCAAAACCATGCCACTTGACTCAATGACAGACCATGTTAACATTCGGCCACCCTACACCCCAAATTTGTTTACAAAGAATCAGGGCTTTCACTTCAAAATATAACAGAGCCAGGGTGTCTCCGTAAATATGGTGATGGCTAACTAACCAGGAGGTCATGAATTTGACACCAGTTGACCAAGAAAGTTCCTCGGGATTTGCAGCCTGACTTCCGCTTATCAGTGACACAGGATGGATTTCATGGCAAATAACAGTGTCTTTTTGTTCGGATGGGATGGAAAATCAAGTTGAAATGTTATCGGAGCAAAATTTCTATCATAGCACATTTCATTTCCTTTTATTTTATAATATGGCTGATCCAATCATTCCTTTTAAATATATGTAAATGTAGTTGTCTGCTTGATACAACTTGATTTTGTTGATTAAATATTGTTCTGAATTCATAGTTATGATTCCATATATATAAACATGTAGACAAACCTCATTTGCTAAAATTCCACCAATTTTACCAAACGCTGGCATCTGAATACCATACTTATCTAATTCTCTTCTCATTGCACTAATTTCTTCCTCTATTAGAATAAAACAAATCATATAAATCTAAATCTCAATAAAATAATCGTTACTTTTCTACTGTTTTGTTAAGAGATACATGTACATAGTCAATCACTTTATGAGGTAAAATAAATCAGGTACAAAGTTTAAATTATCTATAATATAGACCAATTTCAAAGATATATAGTTTTATCACTTTGAAAATACTGGTTATGACAACTTAGCCAAATCAATTTAATTTTCATTTCTTCAGGGTCTAGATAAATAAATAGCCACACAAGTCTTGTGAATGATGTTTTATTTAAAATTTTGGAACTAAAAGTTTCTGACGGGAGTACCCAAGTACTTTTTGTTGTTTTATTCTGTTCTCCCAAAGAAATGGGAAAGACAAAAATTCAAATCGAGTATATAAACACTATCAAGAAGTATGATAGAGCTTGTTAAATAAGAGTAGCCATTGAGTATATAAAAAAGAAAACAATACTCAAAACAACATAAAAAAAAATTAGATATTGAACAAACAATATAACTTATTATCTTTTAGTTGTTGTTTTTAACAGTAACACTATCTGCAATACCTATACCTAATCCACTTGATGTGGCATTATTTTGCCAAACTTGTCCGTTGGAATTTTCATTTGACTATTAGTTTTATGTTTATTATGATTTTAGTTACCTGTGAAATTGATTTTTCCATAAAGATCCTGTATCTGTGGTGCCAGGCCCAATTTAAATAAATATAAACTGAAACGACAAAAAGTTGACATTTGAACAATCTTCAAAATAAATATTATCTTATTGGTTATTTCACTATTTATTTTTAACATTTTAATATTTTTCTACTTGAACAAAGTGTGACATGTTCCTTTAAATATAGCACCTCTGAGTTTGTCAAACAATAAAGCCAGAAATGCACTAACAAGTTTGACTCTCTAGAATATCCCTATATGGTTTCTAACAAGCTTCGTCAAGTAGCGGTCAAGAGAGGAGAGGATGGAAGAGGAGGAAGTTGCGATAAAGACCAGCCGATTCTGGTTACAAAAACAAACTGTCCACAAGAGAAGGAGAGAGCAAACAGTGAAGAGAAGAGAGGAGAGGACACCAGAAGAAAAAAGAGGAGAGGGACTGTGGAGAGGAAAGTAGAGGCGGAGAGACGGGATGCAAGCAGCAATTTGAAATCCTGTATGGTGCTGGCATCACAGGGTCAAAGTCATTCATTTTCTTAAGATTTGTTTTGACTACTAAAGTTGTCAGACATTGGAACTAGGAGATAAATAGTTCTCAATTTACATGACTTATGTTTTCAACTAAACAATTAAAACCCACCTTAAAGCGTGGATACAGTAGATTGCTCTGGGCATATTTTTTCTATCATAAATATCTGTGGTTTCTGGATAAAAAATCTAGAAAATGAAAAATTGAATATGGCTAAATCACATTAAGACTATTCCAACAATAAAATACATAAACAAAGTTTAACAATTATTTTCTTGGAAAAAAAAGAGCGCAGAATTCAACTGAAAAAAATAGTAATTCTAGTTCTGTATTATTTTACGAAATGCAGGGAGTTGTCACAAAAGTTTTAAATAGTAAGAGGATATTATATACCTTGGGAAGACCAACTTCTTCCATGGCAACGAACCAGTGGTTTATATTATCAGTATGTCGAAAATGAAGACCAGTCGCCTGAAATGCAACAAAAGAATTTGTTAACTTTAGCAACTAGCGTATAATTCATCTTTACTAGATTAACCTTTGCTTTATTTTTTCAGTTTGGATACAACTGGATGACTTTGGTGTTCATATTTGATATCAATATCAGACATGTTCAAGGTCAAATAGCACCAAATATTATCATATTACCCTTTTCCTACATGCAACAAGGAATTAACTTTCACATTGGCTGTCATCTGACTGAATTGATAATTTCCACATGTCTAGAATTGAAAATGTATTAAAGATAAAATGAGAGTTCAATACAACCAACTCGGTGACGAGACAATATTGTCATATCCAGCTAGAAAATAATTGATGAATGAATTCTGGTCACACAACTTGACTCAATTTCTAATCCTTTTGACCATCAACTGTCTGGAAGGTGACCAAACATGAACTGTAAAGTCACAATAGTAGACTTTAAATGAGTTCCTGGCATCAGTCTGAATAAATATGCTCTCTTTTCTTCAGTGATTGTGATTTTGGGTGGCTGAATGGTTGAACACGTGTGCATTACATGTAGATCAGAAAGTCTGTCATTGAGTCAAGTGCCATGGTTTCAATTTGCTGCTTGTACGTGACAAGGAGTAGGGTTGCCTTTCCAACCTTGAGGGGTTTCTCCAGGTCCTCTGATTTCCTCCCACTGCTAAAGACCATTTCGAGCAACCAAATTATTGAAATAAAATTGAACCATGTTAGTCTCGAAATGACCTAGTTTGTGTCAGGTGAATGTTAGACCCATTTTTCTCTTTCTGGTGACTTTGTAATCAGTAGTGGAAGGTGTCATTCAAGAGGCAGGCCATGCTTGACCACCCCTTCTTTGAAGAGTTAACATCTTTGTTATAATTTGTGTATACATGTATATGTAGAAGTAGAAAGGGTACATGTATGTTAATTTATGTCCCTCAAAATAAATATTCAATCACTACCAAAATATCTACATTCAATGAGTCACTGGAATACTGGTTTTATTAGCTATGGGTTGAGATTTAATGGAACTGGATGATCTTGCCAGTGCAAGTTGAATTTTAAAGTTGGTCTGTAAACACAGAAGTTCTCAAATTTCTGTAATTTCACAAACCACATGGTCCAATTTTTGTCAAGATCAGCAGACATTAAATTTCCCCTCCAAAAATGAATGAATGAAATGGACTTTTATGGCATGTCACTTCCAACTGGACCATATGGTGCCAAACTCTCCCAAACACATGTTTTCCCCTTCAAGAAAAAGATTATTATATTTACCTTATATCTCGTTTGTTCTTTATCATAAATTCTCTTCACTTTTACAACCTGAGGAGCAAAGAAATGACCAAGTTTGGCAAGATATACCCCATTCATTAATCCTTCTTCTAGTTCTGTGGTAGCAGGTAATTCTTCGTTTATACATGCTTGGATCCATCTGAAAAATACAAACAATATCAAATTTAAAGTTATAGTTTATTCGGTCTTTTAGTCTGGTACCCCATTGTTGAAAATTGCAAATGAAGCAAAGTTATCTCCCATATAATTTCAGATTCACTTATAGTCTCTATCATTCAGACAAATGTTCTAAGAAATGTGGACAACTGGCCCAGAACCTCCATATTTTGAAGACCTGGAGGTGCTGGTTGCCAGAGACTAAATGATCTATGGTTGTACAATCACTAGTAATTGGCAATCTCCAGTGTGAGGTAACTCACCGCCCTCAAATTTTATTTTTTTTAAGGAGATGATGCATTCTCGTAGTACTCACAATTGATTCAAAACTGGTAGCAGCACCTGAGACGCACATTACACTATTGATATGAAACAAACTTGTCCAATTGTCAGGCACAAGATGCATCAAACACAGATAATTCTTTGTTCATTCTGTAAGTAATTATCCTGTATTGTCTAAACACAGATCCTGAGAGTATTTTATGTCATTTAATACTGTATGATTTGTATATGATAGTGATAGACTAGGATGACCATTTTCCATTTGACTATCAACTTAATGTTTTCCAATAATAACTTGTTAAGATGTAAGAAATATATTAATGCATATGCATGAATTAGATTTTTTTTATCTCTTAAATAGGGGGGGGGGGGGGGCAGAGAAAGAGAGAGAGGGATGTTCTTTTCCACTAGTTGGGTTGTTAGCTATTTTTTCAGCAAATTAATGAAAATAGCCATTAATTAAATTTTCATTTAGGAACCTTTTAATTTTATCCACATTTTATCGGCTATTTTGAATGAGGGGGGGGGGGGAGAATCATCATCCCTTAAAAAAACATTTAATTTTTCATGAATTTTGCACCAGGATGTCACGATTTACAAAAATGTCAGACTGTCAGAAGTTTATTACCATACTTAAGCTAAAAATTAAAAGTCATGTAGGCCTCCATGTAAATAATGTTATCTACATGTACACCCTACATGTATTATTAGTCATCCAGGATTTTAACACTTATGTTTTTCTTTATACACTACTTCATTTGAATTTTGTTTTGTCCTTGTTGTTTACGTAATAATGTCATTCTAAACCCATACACCTATACTGACATATCTACATGTAGAAGGGTGTCGTCCATATTTGTCTTGTGGAGGTTTATTAGAAGTCACAGTTATCATCTTATCTATATAAATTTTGAGTGAATTACTTCTGATTATAATGTCAAATTCTGGTATATTTCATGATGTTTGAAATACAATCTCAGAACTAATACAGACAGAAGGGATTCTTTGGAACATGCAGTCTGCTACATGGGTTTCTGTTTCATTGAATAGTACGGTACCGGTTATACATGTACATGTACATACTGAATATTGAATATTAGTCATAAATTATAATGCATGGTAATCAACTGCTGGTATATCCTATTATTATAGTTTCATGTAGGCTGCATCCTGTTCAAACTGTGATCTATACAATTTGGTCAATTATATTTTGGTAGCTCATATTTCACAGTACATTGTAACATTGTGCACACATATCAGTTAATAGTTAAATATACCTCTTGTGTGTATCCGCAGACATGAACAAGGAATTTCCCCTTCAAAACTCTGAGCAAGTGTTTTGTGATTAAATTCTAATAATACATTAAACGTGGTCTTCAACAAGTGGACAATTCCTATAAAAGGAATAGGAATTAAAATTCCTCCCCAAGATAGAGAATAGGTTAGTTCCATTAAACATGCATTATGCAAGAGCAAAATTTGCTTATTACAAGTCTTTCGTTAGGCCTGAAATGTTATCTAAATTATCAATTAGACATTAATTAACTTATCCAGACCATAATAAACTCTCGATGTCAAGGCTAGCCTTCGATGTTGGCTGGATTAGATTCCTATATGCCGCTAACGGCTATTGATAATTAAATCAATAAAAGCGGATAATCGAGACTATGCTGTTTATATTAATGATTTTAGTAATGATGACCGAGACTATGCAAAAATTTCACACGCTTCTTTCTGGGCTCATAGTGGATCAATTTGACTGAAATTTTCAGCAAATTACCTTTACACTATCTAGTTTTTAACTATTATAGCGAGAACTGCCATCTCTTTATCTTATCTCCCATAATGTATCTTTAAGGAAGTAATAATTTTAATATCATAACTATAGTAAAATACAAGAAGGGTGGTGGCCAATAGTGTAGGTTATAGCGCTTGATTACAGATTTGTTGCAATGCCGATCGTCATTTCAAATGATTTTGAATCCCATCCAAACTACCATATTGTGAAAATTGAAATATCAGTCCAAATATGGTTCAATTCCATTCATTGTTAACTTTACAAAGATTTGATTAATTGAATATTTTGCAGCATTAACCATATAAACAAACCAGTGCCACTCATATGTGGTGTTTAAAATATTTTGAAGGGTCTCTTTTTAATTCAAGTCAGAAGATTACCTGCTGTTGACATTTTAGTTTTGTTTTTATCGTCCCAACAATGCACAATTGGGATGGGCAAATTTAATATATAATCTTGCAAAGTCTTCATAACCTGACCTAGACCCTCATACATCATTTTTAAATGTAACTGACCAGATTGCAAGGACAGACGAGACAGCTCATGTGTTTACATTTCCTTTAACAGACACAACAAACCCAAGTCAACTAGTATAGAAACTGTTCCCACAGTCAGAACAGGAAAACAATAACGATATAGTTTTATTATGTGGCTAGCCTACTGTGACATCCATAACTACATCTTAACTCCACACCATAAAATACTCAACTCAAATACTGAACTCGCTGAACTACACAATAGGCATTTTCCTTATACATGTTTTAATGTGAAATCTCATGCAGACATTAATGTAACTGTTGCAAGTTTTGTTAAATTCATTTTATTTATTCTATTAACGTTTCCCTCTTAATACAATTTGAAAGAATTTTTGTACAATCTGTTTTAGTATTCATATCGTTTTCCTCATGGCGATTATACATGTATTTGCAATTGTAGACAGCAGTGTGTACATGTTTTCCCTTGTTTACATCTATCCCAACCACCGGACTAAACTAACGAGTCTGATGATTTTATTGTTCATGAAACTTATCAAGCAGTTGTGGCAAAGTTGATAATCAATATAAACAGCCATTTCTGGTAAAAAAAAAAATAAAACTAAAGATTTGGGTTAATGTTAAAATAATCATTTAGATCTCAACTTCGGTAAATTCAGATTAAATGGAAATGTATGCGTAGATAAAAAAAGATATAACATCAGAAATTCAGCTACAGATGGTATCGTAATGTAGTTGACTACGTGAATACATTACCAAAAATGCTTTTTAAAAAAAATATTGATGAATCCAGATGGAATAAATTTACCGGTGATTAACAATTATTAAAATGTTCAAGAGTAAAAGACGGTGGATTATTTTCAACAAGAGCACCTGCTTCAATGAAATGAAATTGGGTTTTAACGTGCTAACCTGCTTTAAGAAAGCTTGTAATAATCAATGATTTCTGTCCAATCGGTGTATTGTTTACAAGTAATGGATTGATATATCTATTTTAAGTAAAAAACATTATCAAACCTTACAATGGCTTTTGTAACTATGTACAAATAATCAACCATTCAATACAATATAACTATGCTATTAATCAATCAAACTCAAGCAGAAGTCATCATTACTTGTTATTGTAGAAGATCAGTACTGACTATCTACTGATACATGACACTTAGAGGCCAAATGTTAATTCATCAGGGAAAGACAGGCTTATAATGTTACTATTCATAACATTTCATCATGGTTAGTAATAGTCTTGTCAACCAAATTCATCTTCTCATAATTTCTTTAACTTTTCATTTTTGCTATCCTGAATTTTTTTTCACTGGGGAATTCCAAATTACATAATTGTTTTCACTGGAGAATTCCAAATTACATAATATCTGATCTACTTCTCCCTGCTTAGATTTGACAATTCCCAGTAGTCAGTAAACAAGGTATCACTTTACTTATAATATATATTATTTCATCAATGTTATTATATAGTAATATCTTAAAGATGCATTACGTTAGTGATAAATCTGCCTATTGCAGGTTTTTCCTTCTGGCTTCTAATCTTTTTATATAGCTTATTTAATTTAAACATGACAACCCATAATCAACTCTCTGAGTCATCAGATGGCTCTGATTTTAAAATAGATTATAACACTGTGGCCATTTAAGATTTTCACAATAAAATAGATAATCTCAACTTAGTCTTGATTGTCAAGTACCATTGCTACGATAATAAAAAATCTTCACTTTCTTTAATAAGTTATCAAAAATTTCATATAAATCTTTTACAACAATAATTGTCTTGACAGATTTGTGGGATTTTCCAAAGGGGAAGAGAGACATACAAGAGCATTTAATATCCAATTTGTAAATCAGGTGGCTCAGACACTTTTTGACATAAACATACCGTAATTAAAAGTGGAGAAAGTATTTTGCAGTAAAAGTTATTCAATGCAAACAGAATAATTAAATATCATTGTATTTATCTGACAATATCCTTTTAAGGGGAGTCTTCCCTATTACAGGCATTTCTTAAATCTGGCCAGTTAAAATCAGCTCATGTAGTCAAGGTATCAAATTTTAATGCCAAATACAGAAACAAATATAAAACTTTTTTTTAACATCCAACAATACCATATTTGGTGAAAAATTCATATCCAAGGTATTAGTTACAATAATTATAACAGAATGTCATATTATTAATCCATTTTGTACACATTAATTTTGAGTATTTGTGAAATGAACATTGTTATCTTCATATTTATTTATACTTTATAAACTTAAATTTACATTCTTTGTTTATCTTTGTTTTTAAGTCAAGATGTGTCAAATGATGCAGGATATTTTGAGTCAAACCAAATATAGACATAGATTTATCACTCAACAATACATTCCTATAGTCTATTCTACTACGAAAGCTCAACA